CTATCCCTCTAACTATTTTCTTAGCATCAGGGCTTAATTGAAATAGGAGTTCTCCAAAACTCATTTTCGTACTTTTAAGGTGAAGAAAAAAAAGTGATTTACTATAGAGTGTATTACACTTATTTGTATAATTTGCACGACGTTTCGAACCTCCATGGTTCATTCTCAAGTGAACAGATCTTACAATACTAGTTGATTTTATACCCGCATTAGGTCAGGTGATAATACAATGAAGGTGAAAACACGGGGGGATACATAAGGGATAAACATAGGGGCTGCAGAAGGCTTATTGGCCCATACGAGGCATCTCCTATCTAAACACAAAGATTAATCCAGTGTAATTGGCCTGTTATGTTGGACATTGTCTTCTGTGTTGGCATCGATATGTTCTTGTCTTGTCCTTACTCTCATGGTGGGTAGAGTAAATAGTTCCGTGATTTGGGTGTTCATGGTAGGTCGCTCTATATGCGGTCATATTCAATGAAACATGTTTGAAAGAAAACCTGCTGCCAGTATACACCAATATATATATATATATATATATATATATATATATATATATATATATATATATATATATATATATATATATATATATATATATATATATATATATATATATATATATATATATATATATATATATATATATATATATATATATGTCGTACCTAGTAGCCAGAACGCACTTCTCAGCCTACTATGCAAGGCCCGATTTGCCTAATAAGCCAAGTTTTCATGAATTAATGTTTTTTCGACTACCTAACCTACCTAACCTGACCTAACCTAACCTTTTTGGCTACATAACCCAACCTAACCTATAAAGATAGGTTAGGTTAGGTTAGGTAGGGTTGGTTAGGTTCGGTCATATATCTACGTTAATTTTAACTCCAATAAAAAAAATTGACCTCATACATAATGAAATGGGTAGCTTTATCATTTCATAAGAAAAAAATTAGAGAAAATATATTAATTCAGGAAAACTTGGCTTAATAGGCAAATCGGGCCTTGCATAGTAGGCCAAAAAGTGCGTTCTGGCTACTAGGTACGACATATATATATATATATATATATATATATATATATATATATATATATATATATATATATATATATATATATATATATATATATATATATATATATATATATCGTGACCACTGCACCATTGATCGTCTATAAGGATTGGTCAGTCGTGGTGCTTATTAAGTAAGCTCCACGACTGACCAACCCCCGACGACACTCGTGGTTCCATTTGGGTACAGTTTTTCATTAAATTCTGGCACATGCCCGGGCCGCGGTGAGTTTACCAATGTAAGCACGGTTGCTGGAACACGTAAGCCGTAGATCACTCCTCTATGTGGAGTGATCTGTGGCCGGGTGGCCACTCTAAATGACCCTATATTCACCAAGGTATTATACCTTACCTTACCGATAATTATATATTATATACATTTTTTTATATTATATACTTTTTTTTTATTTAAACAACGCTGTTTGTCGACCTAATTGTATTTGTGCTACTTTTTCAGCCATGTTCCCCCTTTATCTCTATTTTTATTTGTTCTCAACACATTTTATTCTTTATACTCGTTTAGTATTAAGTATTAGTCATTAAAGTTTTTCCTGCCCGAAACGCTTTGCGTAATAGTGGCTTTAGGCACTGTATGTACTAGCTCTATCTATAAATCCATCATTCTTTGTAAAATCTCTTGTATGTATGTACCTTACCTAAATAAACATTTATTTATATTATTTATTTATTTATTTACATTTTCTCTCTCTCTTATATATATATATATATATATATATATATATATATATATATATATATATTCCTTAGTTTTCTAAAGACAGTTTTTCAAGTTGAATTAAACGTAGCATGCGTAGCTAATGATAGGCTAAAATAGCTAAACGCTGCTCCTTGGTGTTTTTTATTGTTTCCGCTGAAGGCGGCTAGTTTATTGTGCACCCAATACTCATCCTGTGAGCGGTAACGCAAAAACTTAATCTGTATAAACACTCTATGCAAATAAAGGGACCAAGTCTATGGAACTCACTACCTATTGAATTCAAAATCTGTCCAACTTTTGCGTCATTCACAAACAATACTAAAAAATACCTAATTTCATCTTCATAGTTTTTTACCTTTTGCTTTAAAATTGCACTGTATCTATTGCTACCCAATCTCCTAATCTTTATGTACCCAATTTGAACATCTTTATCATTGTGATCATTGCTGTCTTCTTATATGTGCTGTCAATCTGCTGTATGGTGTCTATTAATCTTGTTTAAATTACCAATCAAGTTGTCAATGTAATCAATCAGAGCTTTAATATAAAAATGTGCTTTAATATACTTATTAATCTCTCTCATCTCATTTTTTTCTTGCAATGTATTTGTTATCATTTTATTAATTCTGCTAGAATTTATCTACTTAAAATTATCTGTTAGATTAAGGACCTGCCCGAAACGCTGCGCGTACTAGTGGCTTTACAAGATTGTAAATACTATGCTATGTATTCTCACAAACCCAATGTACCTTCTTGTATATAAATAAATAAATAAATAAATAAATAAAATAAATACACTTGAAACTGTGTATGGAGTCAGCCTCCACCACATCACTGCCTCCACTGCATTCCATTTGTTCTCAGACACTAAAAAAATTATTTCTAATGTCTCTGTGACTCATTAGGGTACTACGTTTCCACCTGTGTCCCCTTGTTCGTGTTCCACCGATGGTAAACAGTTTGCCTTTATCCACCTTGTCAATTCCCCTAAGAAATTTGTAGGTGTGATCATGTCTCCCCTTACTCTTCTGTCTTCCAGGGACGTGAGGTTTGGCTCCCGTAGCTTTTCCTTGTTGCTCATACCTCTTAGTTCTGGGACTAGTCTGATGGCATACCTCTGAATCTTCTCTAACTTTGCCTTGTGTTTAACTAGGTATGGACTCCAGGCTGGAGCTTCATATTCCAGGATTGGTCTTACATAAGTGGTATACAGGGTCCTGAACGATTCCTTACACAAGTTTCTAAAGGCAGTTCTTATGTTAGTCAGTCTAGCATATGCCGCTGATGATATCCTTTTGATGTGGGCCTCTGGGGACAGGTTCGGTGTGATATCAACCCCCAGATCTTTCTCTCTACTTGACTCTTGCAGGATTTCACCTCCCAGATGGTACCTTGTGTTCAGCCTCCTGCTCCCTTCGCCTAATTTCATTATTTTACACTTTCCTGAGTTGTGCTGCTTTTATGGTATGTGGCCTCGTCGAAACTAACACTAGTGGCTTCGACGAGGACAGGAGGCCGGCGGCTTGTCGAAGGTCCCCACATTTGTCCTGATAATCTTTTCCAGTTTGACTTTATAATTAACAGGGTTTTGGCATTTACGGCTTCGGTGGGTAAGCGGTTCCATGGGTTAATAACCCCTTGGGTGAAAAAGCATCTGTTGTCAGTCCTACATTGTGGTTTGTTGAGCGTGAAGCCGATGCTCCTTGTTTGTGTTACATCTTACCTTATGAAGAAATTATTTGAAACAACATCCTTCTTATTGTTCAGTATTTTAAAGGTTTCGATGAGATCCGCCCTGTCATGCCTAGTTTGTAGTGTTGTTGGCCCTGTGGCCCTCAACCGTTCGTGGTACGAGAGTTGACTTAGCTCTGGAATGATTTTTGTTGCTCGGTGTTGAGCTCCAAAGCAGCTATAATGTCTTTCTGAAGATGAGGTCTCCATGCTTGGATACAATAATTCAAGTGGAGGAGCACCAGAGATTTATACAGTTAAATAGCTACCTTATTTTCCCTAAAGTTAAAGGTACGTTCTATTATTCCTAGGGTTTGGTTGGATTTTTTACTGCTGCTCCCACTTGTGCAGCCTTCAGTGAATTTACCTGATGGATTTTACTTGATGAATGATGGATTCTGACTCCAAGGTCCTTTTCATCATCAATCTGCTGCAAGGTAATGTTATTAATTTGGTAGTTGTGACGGGCTGTTACACCCCCACAGGCAAGGTCTTGCATTTTTCGATAAAAAAATACATTTGCCAGTCTTCTGTCCATTTGTGTTCATTCAGATCGCTTTGTAATACCTCAATATAATTTTTACTTCCCACCTGAAAATCTTAGTGTCATCTGCAAATCTGATGATGTGATTTGAAATATTGTCTTCTATGTCTGTGATGTATAGACAAAAATGGTTGGCCCCAAAATGGATCCTTGTGGTACTCCACTCACCAAATTTCTCCAGATTAATGTCCCTTTAGGACAACCCTATGTTTTCTTTGTTTTAAACAACTATCCATCCGTTCTAGTATTCTACCATTTATTCCATGTGCTAGCAAGTCTCATGTTGTAAAATCCCACTCATGGCTCCTACTGATTTTGTCATTGATACATCACTTAACATGATTTATTTGTGTATTTCATAACTATCTTATCTAAAAATTGGAACCCGTGGAACCACCCATATACATGCAGAGACCGTAAATGCCGAGTCATTACTTCAGATCAAAATCCAGTTGGAAAAAAATCCCCAGGAACAATAGGCGGCGTTGACAAGCCACCGGCTTCCAGTCTCCGGCGAGGCCACTGGAGATGTGGTGGTCCTGTGGCGCTCAGGCCACAGGACCACCACATCTTTATGTATGTGAAGGCCACATACACGAAGGACATTATGTTTGATCTCGTTACGCACTTTGAACGGTACATTATTGATTTTACTTAAAATTCATGTCTATAATTTCATATGTAGTAGAGTTTGACTGCATTATATCCCCCTTGACATTATCTTGCTAAGCACAGCTAATTATTGATCCTTACATGTATATTCACAATATTAACACTGAATAATTCATCGCTGAATTAATTAATATCAATTAAAAGTAGCGTTTCTAGAGTATAATATAAATTGTGAATATTGTTAACAAAATATCGTAGTATAAACATTTAGAAAACATTGTATGATACGGAAGAATTCAGTGGGCCGGTCGAGCTGAGCATCAAGGGAGTTACTCCAGGCTAGCAAGCAGTGTGCATGCAGGCCCTAGCCTACCTCAGCCCGCAAAACCGAATGAATTATTAAGCTGATTAAGCCAACATTGGGGGAGAGACAAGGAGGAGCGCCGGAGCCCAGCTGGGGTGGCCCAATAACCGCGGGGAGGGTCTAACAAGTAGTGTGATCACTGGGACCTGACACCATGTTGACGGGCCGACATTAGGTTGGTCCATTGTGCCTGGCAGGGGAGGCGCTCCTCCCGGCCCTCATTTACACCCCTTAAACCTGTTATTTTCGCTTCCTTATTACATTACCGCATCATACTCGCCTATATGAAATTGAACCGCGTTTTTGTTTAGTTTTTTTGGGGGGTTGAGTGTGAAGAAAAGAGGGGGAGTAGTGAGGTGGCGTAGAGGGAGTACAGAGGGTAACCGCCCCTACGCTAAAAATAGACGCGGCCAAAAGTGAGTGCGCACTGGGTGAACTGGACGAAGAATTCTGGCGCAGTGGAGTTGTGGTAGTGGCAGTGCTTAGGGTAGCCCACCTTCATCATCAGCCCCCCACTCGAAAAATGTAAATATGGTGAGTAGAGCGTGTTGAGAGGGGGAGGCCTAGTGGGGCGGGCCGGGCTGAGGTGGTGATGGTGCTTCTCCTCCTCCTCCCAGGCACTGGTTCTTCTCCTCTGGTGTGACGTTGTTTATTTTTAATATTTGGTGGCCGGGTGTGGAAGAAGGGGGGTTAATTGTGACTCATTGGTGGTGGTGTGGCCCCGTGGTGGTGTGGCGAGACATGGTGTGGCCCCCCCCCCCTGTGGTGTGTGTACCCTGGCCACTGCTGACCCGCCTCCTGTAAACCACACTTGAAGAGTTACAGCAAGAGTGTGTGTGTGTGAAGATGTTGAAGAATGACCAGGATGGGGGTGTTGGTAACCCCCGGCGAGGGAGGACTCTGGTAAACTTACACTTGGTAACCCCCCCCCCTTCTCTTCCCTCACTGGTAAACTCACACCTGCCTCCTCCTCTTCCCTCACTGGTAAACTCACACCTGCCTCCTCCTCTTCCCTCACTGGTAAACTCACACCTGCCTCCTCCTCTTCCCTCACTGGTAAACTTACACCTGCCTCCTCCCACTTCCCATAACTCACACTTGCCCCTCACTAGTAAACTAACACCTGCCCCCCCCCCCTGGTTCCCTCATCTACATGGTTACTTACCAATATAATCAATTACTTTAGTATTTAAAGCGAACATTGGTACACGGATGGACTAGCAAGAAGACTTAACTTCATTATGAGCTTACTAGCAGATTTAAGATTTAAATACTGGACAAAGAATTAAGGCCTTTTTTGACCTGGTCTAGGTATATATCTTTGGGCTAAGATGGGCCACTGTCATGTCCACTTATGCTATTTAAGTAACGTAAAAGATAATGGTCTTGCTTTTCACATTTCTGGCCAATAGTTCTGTATTGTAATTGGAGTTTGAGCTGAAGTTTCATACATTCTATTTTATTTACATGGAAGGTTGCCCTTGCTTTAAATATGCTGTTTAGCATAACGAAACTTAACCTTAAATTTATCCAGCCCAACTTATCCTTACCTAACTCTTCAAGGAAAGGCCAGATTACTCTTATCCAGAGATTGGTCACCAGCTCAAGTTACCACATTTCAGTAATGCAAAAAAAAATCTTATTTCTTACAAGGTTGATTATATTTGTTGTATAAATATATGAACTTTTTAATTGAACCCATTGAGTGGGTGAAAGGAAAAGTACTTAGTGTGGGTAGTGTATACAATTGAGTCTTTGATCAGGTGTGTACTTGTGTAAGGCCTGTTTGGTTGCTAGTTACAGTGCAAGAACATTACCGAGTCTACTTACGCAGGATACAATAATTATATGGTTCGTTTTCTGATTGAAACGATGTATGGCATTAGGGTTGGTTGGAGTAGGATTCAAAATGCATTGGCAAATTGTCATGGATATGAAGTGAGCTGTAGCCACTCCTCTTGTCTCCAGTCTGTGAGCAATAGCAAGTAATCACTCACTTTACTGCTGTAGCTATGCAGTCAAATTATCTAAGCTGTAAATTTCTTAAATGAACAATTTCATAATTTGTTGACCAAACCACACTAGAAAGTGAACGGACGACGACGTATCGGTCCGTCCTGGACCATTCTCAAGTCGATTGTGATGATAAAAATTTCATAATTTAACATTTTCACTTATCTCCATTCTATACTTTACCATATTTTTCTAATACTTTTTCTTTACTGTACAGTAAGTGTGCTGTAGGTGATCTCATAAAGTTGGGTTGCATCAATTAAATATTACTTGATTTTGAAATTTGCATTCCTACCCAGTTATATAAATAAAACATGAAGGAACACTTGTATGATATTTCAGCACTAATTGCAATAAGTGGCACTTTCTTAAGCCTCAGTTTAGATGTATTCTATTTTTATGATTTCAGCCATATTCACACGTCATCTTTGACAAGGATAGTGGACATAAATTGGTAACGGTTGGCTTGTCTAACGGTTAAGTTGTCTAACCTAACCTGTTCATGTCTTGCAAGAAGTAAAGAGTTCAGTAATGAGTTATACAAGATGTAAAATAATTAAAATACCCTGTAGTATATAGCTGGCTTTGTATTTTTAGGCCACTTAATTATGAAATAATAATAATAATAATAATTTATTTCGGAAAAGTACATACATAGATGCAGAGTTACAAACATTCTGATTGATTTATAGAGGTAGTACATACAATACCTAAAGCCACTAGTACGCATAGCGTTTCGGGCAAATTGCATTGAACATAAAATTTAAAGCGCTGTACAGGCATGAATATGAAAATTGTGCAGGCTTCATTGTTGATTAAATATTCTTTACAGAAACGCTTTACATTTTTTTTATACAGTAAAGGGTAAAATTGCTATTTCTTGGCCAGGTGTTGATCACCTGTGAAAAATTCTAGTACAGTACAGTACAGGTACTAAGATTGCTGGATCAATGTGAACCACAAAAAATGTCAGTTCAGATATGAATGATGACTAAACAGTTTAATAAAAAAGTAACATTTTGTTTCCTGTGTATGTGCGTGCTGCTTATTCAAATTAAGAAATATTTTGATCAAATATAAGGCAGTACTGTATACTCATTTCGGTTTTTGGTTGTGTACTGCTGTTAAACTATAAAACGACGCCAGGGTCTACAGTACTGTATACTGAAAGTTGCATCATGAAAAAAATCAGACCCATACCATGGTGGTCCAAGTACAGTACTGTACTGTATATACCAGCTTCCAAAATGACTGTCTTCAAATTAAATGAAATCTACTAAAACATGCTGATATTTACACATGGTTCCATAGTATATCTGATCTTGACACTGGATGGTTTTAATAAATAAGACATTAAACATGGCATTGCCAAAAGAAATAAAAGGGCAACCAAAGAATACCTACACTTCCACATTTTATACAGTATTAATCTCAGATCTTAACACTTGGTGGGTCCCACAATGCAAGTAATTGCATGGTCTGTTGGACAATGCTTGTTGTAAAAATAGTCAATTATTTCAATTACAAATGTGACTGCTGTGTTCGTAATTATAGGAATGTTGCACAAGTGTTAAAATAAAGATGAGTGATACTGTGCTGGTGCTCTACCAAAGCACTAGCACTGGAGTTAGAGGACTAGACAACTACAGCAACTTTAGCCTGCATATTTCAGTTAATATCTTAGAAGGATTGTATCTTTTGATTAGATTATAGAGTATATTTTAGTTCAAATATCATCTTTAAATTTATACTGTAGGCCAAGTCTTTATGAAAACGTTTATAGGCCCTAGAGATGTTTAATCAGATTTGATAAATATAAAATGATAGAGCACTGTACTTGTGGCTTCTCATCCTATGAGTTGTACTGATGCTTGCATCTGTCTGGTCAAAGATTTACTCAATTTTCCAATAAGATTTGACTGACATTTTGCAAGAGGCTTATCCAACGTGTCTCCTCAAAATGAGCAAAGCTGGTTTAATCTGCCATTATTGTATAGCCAAAGTGTCGCTATAAGAATACATGTACAAAAAACACAAGCCTATCTGTGTGTGTTTTCAAAATTTGCAATTCACCTAGAGAACTTCAAAATGCAGTGCAATTTTTAAAAGAAATTATGATCCTTCCTTGAAAATCATCCATACAAGATTGAATATAGGGTAACATCATCAGTTGTTTGCCACGTGCATTATTTTTATATTTGTAAGTTGAATAAAAAAAGGTATTAACTTTTTAATTAACTGGTATAATTGAAACAGGTTTGTTTACAAAATGAGATTAAAATCCAGTCTGTAGGTTTAATTTCGCACTAAAGAGAAATTAACTGAGATATGTAGGTGCCATATTATTATTATTATTAAAATAATAATAATTAGTAATGGTAATGTCTTCTCACAGACATAATAACATAGGATAAAAAAATAATAATAAAAATGTTTACTCAGGTATAAGTACATACTGTACATACAAAATGAGTTACAAACAGAATGTTGGAATTCTAGAGATAGCTAGTACAGTACAGTATATACTGTCTGTATGGACCCATATGTCAGCATTGGATAGTGTAGGTGGCTATAGCCAATAATGAGCTTTGTGACATGAAAACTGGTTTATCTCAGGTTTTCCTCGTTTAATCAAAATAGGAAATGGACACTTAATTAATCTGATTATGCATTGGCCACACAAAATTAACACATGTGCACAATTGCATTATCTGCTTACAGTAAACAGCACATCAGTGTATCTTTTTAATTGAATCCTCATTCTTCACAGTTATAGAAAAAAAGTATCCTGGAAAACAGGAAACACTGCCTTTACATTTGTGTAAAAAAAAATGCTTACACCAGTTGTTAATGGAAAAAATACAGTAAGAGACCTATATATAGAAGGGGAGTTTCCGCTACACACTAGGGGTGTCTATCGTGAATATGTACAGAATTTATATGGCATTTGATTTGGCTTTCACTCAAATTTATAATTGTGGCTGTAGTTTCATTGATCACATTGCTACCATTGCAATATTGCTTCAGGAGAAGAGAGAATTTGATATTCATTTTACATTTATTCAGGCACCTAATATTAGATACTGTATACCAAAACAAATTGGATTTTTCAACTACAGTATGTTAAACACTGCCATGTCACTTCCTGCATGGCTTTTCCACAATGACACAGCTTACCATGTTTTTAACAGGGAACACAACAGGGTTATAACTATCGACTGAGGGTAAATCTTGTAGTACATCCCACTACCACAACACGTGCCAGCTCCACATGCAGTGATGTACTCAACCACCTTTTGGTGCAAGCACACATGAAGATATGTGGTGCAGTTCCTCACCCATCGTGGGGTCTGTGAACTCTTCTGCCTACAAACATTCACACACTGTAGTACACTTGAGGCATCTTGGTAGATATATGGAAAAAGGCAGTTCCAATCTACAAAAATGATAGCAGGGTACAATGGTACCCTCTTAATTATAGACCCATTTTGTTGACTAATGTAGTAGTCAAAACACTAGAAAAAATAATTAAAACCAAATGGTTTGAACACCTGGAGAGAAATTATATATGGCACATTCATGGCTTTCAAGCAGAAATCCCTGTGTAACAAATCTATTTAGTTCCATGATTTCCAGAGATTTTACGGGAAAGTAATGGTTAGGTTGACTGCATTTATCTGGACTTAAAAAATAGGGTTTTTGATAGTCCCGCATACGAGGTTGTTTTAGAAACGAACATACTGGAGGGGTGATAGAATGACTCCTGACTTGTATAAAAAATGCTAATGGAAAATTAAAGTGGTAATTGGAGACAATACATCACACTAAAGAAATGCTACTAGTGAAGTACAGTATTACAGGGTTTAGTTTAAGCACCAGTAATGTTCATTGTCTATATGAACGGTCTACCAGAAGGAATACAGTCTTATATACACATGTTTGCTGATGATGCTAAGCTACTAGGGAAGATGAGAAATTTAGACAATTGTCATGCCCTTTAAAATGACCTGGAGAAAATAGTGTATGGAGCAACATTTGGCACATGGAATTTAATGTGAACAAATGCCACATTATGGAAAATAGAAAAAGAGGAAATAAGCTACACAGATTACAAATTGTGAAAAAGTTTAAAAGAACTCTGATAAAAAGATCTAGGGGTGGTTCTGGCAGCCCGTCCTCCAAAAATGGGGAGGTAAATGTAATAAGTGCAATTATATACTATGTATGACTGTCAGGAATTGTACTTATTTACACTTAGTATTAAATCGTACTGTCAAATATAGTGTGAATATTTGAGTTTACCTGAAAAGCTGAATAGAAAACCACGACCTCACCTAACCATCTTAGTTTTTGAAGATAAGCATTTTATTGCTTCTTAACACTTTCGCGCTCTCCGCAAAGGTCACTCAGCCAACCGAATGTGCGCGCTGCGTTTTTATCGCTTAAGCGTAAAAACAAAAATGTGTATACTCTTTTTACTCTTCTGACCTTAGTTCTCATGCTACGTATTTCATTTTGGTACCAACGTGTTCGCAATAAAATTCTCTAGAAGAACATTAGTAAAATAAGTCACGAAACATATAGGGATACCAGCACCAAATAAATAACTACGTAGATGACTCGCCGTGAACGCCCATCAGCAACAAAATGTTTTTACTCTTGGGATTGTAATCACCTCCACACTTGTTCTACAGCGTTAATTTTGGTATCAATGGACTCGCAATGAAATTCCCAACACGGTGATATGAATATAAGCGTAGAATAATGATGCAGCCCGCCCGCAAGAGTGTGGGAAGTGGTGAAATTGTTACCCGGTATCGGTGACGGGACGACGCACGGCGCTTTGAAAGTTTATACTTATTTCACTCTCATGACATTAATTTTCTATGTACGTCATTCATTTTTATGTCAATGTGTTCGCAATAGAATGTTCTATGTGCCCATAGGTAAAAAATATCAACAAAGCGTAAGTTAGAATAGCGACAAATATAAAACAACGCTGGAACATATCAGTGAGCGTCAAACACACACAAAATATTTTTACTTTTGTTATGTTTGTCAAGATTATACTTGTTGCACACAGTTATTTTTGGTTGTATATTGATCGGAATAAAATTCCCTAAACAGACATATGCATATAATACATGATATGGGGGAAGAATTACCAGTATAAACGGCTAAAGTCACCCACCTGCAACCCGTTTGGGACAAAATACCATTTGATCGAAGTTATCCACACCTTTCATGAACTTATTGTACCATGCAGCCTAGTGGTGAGAAAGAGAGCCTCATAGCGCGCAGTTTGAAACAAACCCAAAGTAAATCGGATAAAAATTTAATTTTATACAAATATTTTAAAAGTAGACATAACTTTATGTCCACTATGCGTTTACGTTAGACGAAACCGAACGCGCCGGCACGTCCAGATAGCGCGAAAGTGTTAATTACAATTACTACTTAACCTATAGCTATATTGATATTACAGTTTTATAAAATAAATAAAACAAAACTAAAACGTCAATAAATTGTAAAGTAACTCAGGATATTTTCAAATTTTGTATAAAATCTTTGTTTGATAAAACTGAAAAAGAAATTCCTGATATTTAAAACTTGTGTATAGCAAACTGAATTTTAAAACTTCATCTTAAAATTCTGAGCGTCTTAACAGAAAACGAGGAGAATTAAATGGGGAGGTAAATGTAACAGCCCCATAAGTGCAATTATGTATTATGTATGACAATGTACTTATTACACTTAGTATTAAAACTTACTGTCAATTCGGGGTATTGGGTTCTGGATAGAAAACTGCCACCCGAGGACCACATAAAGAACATTGTGCGAGGAACCTGTGCTAAGCTTTCTAACATGTGAATCAATCTTAAATACACGGATGACAAAATATTAAAGAAATTATTCATGACCTTTTGAAACCAAAATTTGAATATGCAGCAGTAGTGTGGTGCCCATATCTCAAGCAGTACATCAATATATTGAAAAGGTGCAAGGACGTGCCAATAAATGGCTTCCAGAACTGAAATACGAGAGCTACAAGGAAAGGTTAGAAGTGTTAATTATACAAAAAATCGAAGATAGAAGGAAGAGGCAATGTGATCACTACATACAAAATATTTATGGGAATATACAAAATTGACAGAAGAATTCTTGAAACATGGAACCTCAAGAGATCATAGATTTAAGCTAAGGAAACAAAGCTACTGAAAAGAAAAATTAGGAAGTTCACTTTTGAAGAGTGGTAGACAGAAAACTTAAGTGAGGTGGGGTTGGATGCCAAAACTGTCAATAGTTTCAAAGTGTCATATGGCAGAGTACTGGGAGGATGGGACACCACAAACGTAGCTCTCATAGTGTAACTACACATGGGTAATTACTCTTAAGTGTAATTACCTATCATTATTATTCCTATGATAACTTCACTGCTATCATGAGCAGTTGTAGACAATTTCTTGAGATGAAAGAAAGACGAAACTTTGAGAATTCATTGGTGGACATGTTGCGGTCCCCAAGACTAACTCATGATAATTTAGGTCTATATGGGAGCTGATGATAATCCGAGTATAGTGTCCATGGTTCCCAGAACTGAACCACATGTTGATGTAGCTGAAGGTTGAAGAGACAGGAGGGGTGTGGACTTGTACCAGAATGTGAACTCGAACCTATCAGTCAGTTTAGATGAATCGCCTGTTTTTCCATGAATGGCCTCTCTTGAGGTACGTAGCACAGATGAAGGATGGATGGGCACAGCAGGATGCAGAGTTGATCAGACAGGAAGGAAATGAGCTAGACAGACATGCAGACATGTGCCCCTCAAAGCATGTCAGTGTGTGGCCAGTATAGTGTATATGATGGCCTCGCCTGATTGGTTCCTACCATATGGCCTATACCCTTTCTGACCGCTGGTGCCCCACCTTGTCACAATATTGCCTAGTATTGAAGCAGAACCCAAGATGGCAGAGTATTTAGCTAAAAATAACTAGCGATACTTCTAACTCTTCTCAATCCGGTCACACTGGATTGAGAATTGTATATAGTATATGCAGTACTGGTATTTGGCTTCCTTAAAAGCCATAAGCAACGAGTCCAAACACTTTTGGGGATGCAAGCACTTGTTGCTTTCACGTAAGCACTGTTGTATATACTGGTGTATTTGCAAATTGCAAAGTTTGCAAATACAGGCTCTTTGTTACAAAGGCTGTTGAATTTTCTGTAACATTAATGTCCCAAAGTTCACTGTGATAGTCTATTAAGCTCTCTTAGCTTTATATAAACTTGTTATACAGTTTAGGCATCTTGAATGTTGCCTGAATAATGATGATAGTTGAGTAAAGTGTTGTATAACCTTAGGCCAGCCTACTGGCTTAGCACTTTATTTTTATTTTTTTTATTTTTTTTTTTTAATTAGGAGTACATGCCAAGTAACTGGCCACCTCATTGGATTGGTTAATCATGTATTTATTTATGTAGGCCTTTAATGCACATATTTAAGAGTTTCACCAGTGCAGTATTTGTACTGAAAATAAGAGGAAGATACAAAAATTCTAAATTAATTTTTCCTTTTCAGTCGAGTCCTAATAGTGCGGAAGTATCAGGCTCCCCATCCCCAGCTCCAAGTAGCATTGGTAACAACGCACCTAAATATGGAACGTTGGTCCCTAACAGGTTGGTTGATAAGTAATGAAGGTTTCAGTTTGTATAATTGTCCTGTGGTATTCCATCCTTTAAAGTAAATAATGTATAGCATGTGTGTTGTGTGTGTACTGTCCATACAGGTGTTGCGATATACTTTGGGTTTGCCAATGATATTATAGAACTTTTTAAACACAGCATGTGTATGGGCCTTTTTTTTTTTAAAGTACTGTATAGTATTGGCATCAATCAAAATATTGGTGCAGTATCAGTACACCTCCTCTTTTCAAAGTATAGTACCTGTACATTCAATACAGTGGAACCTTGGTTTTCAAATGCCCCTCTCTCCAAATTTTTCTGTGCTCGAGCTCAATTTCTTCGAAAAATTTGACTTGGTACAGTATTCGAGGTTTACCTCGGTGCTAGAGTTTGTTGATACACGTTGGGCCGACACGCTTCAGTTTACCAGGGTTTCCTGGCTAGTGACGACCACGCTCGAATTCTTTGTGAAGAATTTCATTGTTTTAATGCTTTTTCGGTTTCTGTACATAAAAGTTCTTATTATATATCATACCATGGGTTCCAAGAAAGTCAGTGGTAAAGTTCATCCCAAGAAAATAGTTGAGGATGACGATAGAGGAAAAACAGGAGATCATTCATAGTGAGACAATGTGATGTCTCGCTACAGACAAGTGTTAAAACGTAGGGAAAAAAGTGTCTAGACAGATTCTTAGTAAGACAAGCAAGCAGTGAGCCACAACCAGGTCCTAGTGGAATGCCTGCAAAACATGAGACACTACCCCAGAATATCATCACTGCTGTTATAATGGAGTTGGATTCCTCTTCCAAACACTTACCACCTCTACACACAGAAATTACAATAGCGTGATGCATCAAATGAACAAATCACAAGGGCCATAACGAGGGTTCGAACCTACGTCATTTGACGCATCACACTATTGTGATTTCTGTGTGTAATGAAGGGCGAACAGCCTATTGGCAGAGCTCGGGTGCATGGGGTAATTGTGTAAAACCCTGGTTTGTGTCTCGGAGAGACTGCAGGATCCGTGGTAGGCCAGGATGATTTCCCAGTTGCAATTCTTTTACCATGTTGTAGCTCAGTCGATTAAGGCAGCGTCTGGGATCCTCTCGGACATAGGTTCGAACCCTCGTCACGGCCCTTGTGGATTTGTTCACTTACCACCTCTCCTTCCTTACTGTCTTCCATACGTCAACAAGAGTCCTCAATAAAGGCAAGATATACTTGTACATACTGTAGTACAAAATATGAGTATGTATAAAATGTATTTTTAAGTTAATATTATTGGGGGTGTGGAACGGATTAATTCGATTTACATTATTTCTTGAGGAAAAATTTGTTTCGGTTTTTAATCTTCGGTTTTCAAACCGCCTCTGGGAATGAATTAAGTTTGAAAACGGAGGTACCATTGTATTTGTAATCACAAGGTTGAAATATGGCTGAATTCTAGTCCACATTCATTGTTGAATGATGGATCTACTGGGTGCATCACTTTTTTTTTTTTTTTTTTTTTTAGTCCCAATAATGCAAATGTATCAGGATTTAGAATGCAGGCACTGTATGCATTTCATTTATTGACAATACAGTATACTTTGTACATCAATAGTATTAAATGGGAAGAGACTAACTGCACAATAAATAATTCCTTTGAAGAACAAGTGGTAACAGGATGGATAAGATGCCTAATATTACAGTGTAACTTCAGTTTGGTGAATCTGTTTGCAACCTGTGTATGTCTTGGGCAAATTTGCCCAGTCTATTACTAACTCTTTCTGCAGCCAATATATTTGATAACAAGTATATAAAGGTGTTTAATGAGGTGGGCTAGATTAAACATACCATGTGTGGTGGCCTTGGCACAGTATCATGTGAATATTTGTTTGAATGTTCAGGGATAAAAAATAAGATAAAAAAATGTCAGAAGCCTTTCACTTGTTTATACTGGCAAAGTTTTAAAGTTATTTTACAGGAATTTTATGACATGGTTTTCATGTTTAAAGTTGATTCTTGCATAAAGTTTTTATAGTTTTGAGTAAAAGGTGATTGAATTCCTGCACTGGTAAAATCAGCTTGCACCTCGCTTAGCTTTTTATACGCAAAGTCCAACAATATGTGAAAGCTTACTCACACATTTGTTTGTTTAATGATTCAAAGTTTTCTCAATGGAAATTAAAATCAAAATGCCTAGGAACTACACACCTGGAAATTATGCAAGGTGAGCATAGATTATATCATGAAGGAGGGGGGGGGGTTTCTAGGAGATATTAGAGGTATGAAGTCTTGGGATCATGAAAAGTGCTGTAATGTATGTGGTAGCTTGTTGTGTGGCAGTAATTTATACCAAATAGATGATAAATTTTGAAGTTAACCTTTTATGTATCTTGTTTGCAGAGTATTTGTTGGTGGCATTTCTGCCAGCACAACAGAGCAGGATTTGTTGGAGTTATTTTCACAATATGGGGCTGTCAAAGCCACGAAGATCATCAGTGACCGGGCAGGAGTATCTAAGGGCTATGGTTTTGTCACTTTTGAGACGGAAGAAGAAGCTAGAAGACTTACACAAGAGGTAATGGTTTATATGCCTAGGATAGAGAGGGGATACTGTAAATGAGAAATGTTAAGTCGTGTAGTCAAAGGGTGACCAAGCATGTAAGGGGCTTTGTTGTACATAAACATTACCATTCATAAATTATAATACCGTGTGTTTTTTTAAGAGGAAATAAGTTGTAATTATTTAATCATTAAGGTATCCTTGGCCCTTTCACTGTGGTACTTCTCTTTTACCTCATGCAGTACTTGTATCTGCATTTTACAGTAGATATTTGTGTATGTAAAATGGAAATAAATTATCTCGTTTCCAAATTTTTATTCCGTTTTTTTATTTTAATATTAAAGAGCTGCGCTTTCATATTTATCTTCGAATATAGCACACACAATAGTGAGATTGAGTAGAACTAATTAATTTTGACATACTGTATTTAGATACTGTATTCGACATCAGGTGAAGTTTTCCTCTATTCCACCAAACTGCTCCCACTACCAGGCCTTAGTACCTATTCTAAAGGCAAGATGTCTAAATATTTCAGGATGCTACAAATATTTTTTTGTTCATTTGGCAACTCTCACTTATCACAATGAATGTTTTATGCTCTTAAGTGACTATAGCCACAGACAACAGTGAAACGGTTAACCAGGACGTACTTAAAGATGGTTCTGATCAGGATTAGGACTATTAGTAGCAAGAGTAAAGCTTTATGGTGCCTTCATTTAGTAATTAATTTTTTCTAATTCTATACTGTAATTGTATTCTTTAATTGGTCATTTTAATATAAAAATTAATGAAGTGATCTATATATATATGGATTGCATATCTAGAAAATATATGATGACCAAACCACACATCAGAAGTTGGAGAAATGACGATGTTTCGGTCCATTCTAGACCATTGTCATTATTTCTTCATCTTCTGATGTGTGGTTTGGTCACCATTTCTTCAGCCACATTATTGTGACACATCGTCTGCTTAAAATATATATATATACAATATTATTATAATTGTTTTTGTTAATAAAATTTTTAATGAATTTATTTCTAGGCTGATAACATAATGCTCAAGGACAGAAAATTAAATATTGCACCTGCGATCAAGAAACAAGTTAGCGATGTTGGATATATGAAGGTAGGTCACTTGGTTATGTGTAAATTGTATATACTGTACCATTATCTTGAGTAACCTAGTGTCTTGGGTACTGCTCGATAAATTTGGTTACATTTTTGGTGCTTGCTGCCTGTCGAACTTCACCTAATTCAACCATATACAGTATAAGCCTACTGGGGACAAGAGGTCAAAACCTAGCCCCCTCTAAAAAAAAAAAAAAAAAAAAAAAAATGGGGGATTGCAGATCACCCTAACACTTTCGCGCACCCCCCGCGCCACCCCTCGACAGGGCGATATGGGCCCCAGCGTGTCACGGAAGCGCGCGTCAATTCCGAAAAGTGTATACTCTCTTCAACTTTGTCACCTCAATTTTCGTTCTACGAGATTAAATTTGGTATCATTGTGTTCGCAATAAAATTCTCTACAGCACTAAATGCATATAAACTCCAAAAGCCCGGCTAATTACCCGCAGCAAGCAGAGAAAGTGCGAACGAGTTACCCGGGAGCGCGCAAACGCGATAAAATGTTTTCACTATTTTCACTCTGGTCACCTCAATTTTCGTCCTAGGTCTTTCATTTTGGTCTCAATGGGTTCGTAATTGAATTATCTAGAGGAATATTAGCATATAAAATAAAAAACCTGGTCACGCTCCAACCGCCGACGAGTTGAAGACGGGCCACGCGTTAGCCGTGAGTGAGCGCCCAGACGCCTTCCCGCTACACTCCCAATTCCCGCCCACATATGTTTAGTATTATTTCCTGGTGGTAATCTCAATTTTCATGTTACAGCTCTCATTTAGGTATGAAAATGTTCCTAATAGAATTCTTCAGATGGATATGTGCATATAAGGGCCAATTGAAGAACAACATTTCCTGTACAATACGGGAAACGGGCAAATACTCATCAAGATCGTCAGTCCCATATATCTAGCAATTTCCTTCACTGTCACTGGTTGCCATCTGTGCTTTGTACTTTGCCCAGTACCTGCCTTATTTTGGGAAGCATATAAATTTGTTTCATAGGCAATATATTTCAGCAATTTTTGTGTCAGAAAGAGTTGAATGAATCCAAGAACAGTGGTAGGTACAGGAACAGTCAAGCCTGGTGTACCTGTAAAATTGTCCACAAAGGGTGCAGTATTGTCACTACACCATCCATCATCAGAATCTGTTGGTGCTGGGTACGTGTGGTACGTGTGGTACGTCTGGCTCTAGCACGAGCTCCAGTACCACGCCGTGCACGAGTGGCAATCTCGACCTCAGACTCCTCACTGCCCTCACTTTCATCACTATCAAAATCCTCATCGGCCGTCTCTGTTTCTAAATGTTCACTACTTGCATCAGTATCAATACCAACATCAGTTTCATCACTAGATGACCCAGACAAATCGTCAAATACAGCCTGAAACTTAGAGGGAGTTAGTCTCACATGCTTGTACTTCTCCTGTACACTACTCAGCTTCTGCTTTTCACGCCTTTCTTTCGCAATTTTCTTCCTGGAAGGGCCTTGTTCATAATCACTATCCATCGTGGAGTAATCGTAGGTAGTTTCTGAAGCCGCAGCAAGAAATATAGCCACGGAAAATAGCCGAAATGTTCACACGTTTGAGACGCGAGGGGAGGCAACACCGGTCACAACAGTGGAGCAAAAACAATGGGCCGACGGCGTGTGCCGCGCCGCCTGCGGGCCACTAGGCACAACAAAGAAAATGGGAAGACATCGGCGCGCATTTTAAAATTAGTCCCAAAAAAATCGGATAAAAACCCGATTTTTGGCGAATTTTTAAAGTGGATGACGCAATGCTGCGTCATCCCCGGCATTACCGCCAGTAAACGGATGACGCAATGCTGCGTCAGAAATGGTCTCCAGAAAGGTGGATAAATCGATACAGACAACAACAAAAGTAACCAAAGCATAGAAAGCAGGAGAGCGAAACCCTAAGATTCACGAGCACCATAAGGCGCTTTTAGGTATAAGGAACGGTTCAGTATTCCTGCAGGTACACTGGACTCGCATCCTGTGCCTCAGGATTCCAGTAAAGATCGTCAGCATTCATACTGGCTGTGAGAGTCTCAGTACTGAGAGTGCGACCAAGGCTGGTGTATGCAGCAGGAGCTCACAGCACCACTTAATAATCCTGAATAAAATAGGTAACTTCAATTATTTTTCATTGATTTTGTGGTAGATGAACCTGACTGTAATAAAGACTAATGTACAATGTTCAGATACCAGTGAATACAATGCTAGTTATGATATTCACAGCATGAGATACACAAAGAGTAGATTTCAAGTGTAGATATGATAGAGCCCAATAGGCTCAGGAACCTGTACACCTCTTGATTGACGGATGAGAGTCGGGACCAAAGAGCCAGAGCTCAACCCCCGCAAGCACAATTAGGTGAGTACAACTAGGTGAGTACAAAGCACCCAGCTATTGTTCCTTGCATCTATACATCATGAAACAACCATGTTCCTTCACAATATAACCTTGTGGGAATAGATTCATATTCTAGATTTTGACAGGAATGCGATAATAACGGCAGGTTTTGTTAGCTGTTCATAGCTAGATGTATAGAATATTGGAGGCATTGTCTTGCATCACTAGACTGCTGGTGTTGTCTACTAGTATCATGTGACTCCATGCTGTGTTTTGATTTCATCACCATACCCACCAGAACTGCTTAGTAGTTTATGGTGTATATAAATGGTGATAGTGATATACTGTATGTGTGTATAGTGTAATAACAAGAACAGTATGTTGGGGGAGCAATCTTGCCAGTGAGGTAGCATCATCAGCTGACTGGTGTGATGTTCCTTGGACTCGCCAGATCAGCTTAGTGGTTTGTTACAATGTAGATAGTTATATATTGAGTATATATATAGTGTAATAACAGCAAAAACACTGTTTGATCTAAGAATATAACATGCATGTCACTATATGTGAGCCCTATATTTTTGAGCATAGCAATGTTCCACAGATTTAACTATATCAGTTCCACAAATTAAACACTATTGAATAATATTGCTGAAAAAAAGAAGTTATAAAAGCATTCAGACACTGAAATAATTATGTAAAAATGTATTTGGGACATTGGGACAGCCCCTACCACACTCGGCTGTTGGTGACTAGGCTGACCTTGGATTTTTGTTGTGTATATAAACTCTCAACACACAATCTTTGTGGTTCAATATGGTGCACAAAAATGTAGACTGATAAATTATTTATATATAATATATATATATATATAATATAGCATGTGTAAATAGTGTAATTACAACAAGTTACTGTTTGATCTAAGAATGTAATGTGTGTCACTATAAAAGAGCTGTGTATTTGTGAGCATACCGATGTTCCACGCATTTAAGTAGTCTTAGTTCAATTTGTGGAACTAGGTTTAGGTTACTTCAAATTATTACATTTGATGTTGATGTAATTATTGTATTACTGATGTTTAGAGTTCTAGAAGCTTACAGGAAACAAGTAGCATATCTAGTAGTCTTCACTTTCAAATTGCATCTGATTTTTATATTGACAATTTTAAGATGAACATGTAATAGGTCTCTCGTCTATTATTGCTAAATGAGGCAAGACTCCATTTCTTTCAGCATGATTCAAAGAGTTAGGAATTTTACATGTAATTCATGTCAAATTGGTAACCACAAAATTTGTGCATCTTTATCTGCAGCCAAAACATTGTATTGCCTTCAGAATATATTAAACCCACTTGTGGATGCAGCCTCGTAATTCAGTGGTTTCATTCTCTACTCACAATTGGGGATCGTGGGTTTAATCCCAAGGTGGGACATATAAGAAATATCTTTTAATGATTGCAAAACAAACTCGAATGAAAATTTAATAAATGGTTAATGATTATTTGAAATTAATTGTGCAGTGTAAATGATCTTTCTTTGCAGACCTACTCCCCACACTTAATAGAGAGCAACAGTAATGTGGTCGGTTCTGGTGGGGCAGTGTTCTTCAGTAATGGTACAAGTTATGCGACATATGGGAACACAGTGCCTGTTTTGACCCCAACAGAATACCACCCAACATTCCCTCAAGCTCCGGCGGCACCTACAACGCCTTCAGCTTACCAAACTCTCGTATATCCTCAACCTATCTATTACCCACAGCAATACCAGTACCAGCCCACGGTATGTTACATTGATATTATTTAATTTGATCAAACATGATCACTTGATTAGAAACATTAATTTGTTAAATTGTTAATTTTTGTAAATACTGTTTCAACACATCTTCCTTATTTTTTTTTTTTTTTTTAAAAAAATATTTGGTATTTTAAATATTTGCACATAGGCATCTAGCAACTGTGATTTCATGTTCATAGTGTCATTATCATATACTGTTATCTTCTCTTCTATTTTTTCTTGTTTTGTACATCCTCTTCCCACCTTTCTGTTTTAACTTTTTCCTTTATGCATACAACTGGTCACTGGGCTCTGTTATTGGCATCAACCTATTTCTTTGCTGCTTGTGGCAGAGTATTCCTCCTTGAACACTTCCTGTCTGCAATACACATTTTTTTATTTGATTTATATGTACAAGAGTTTTTACATTCTTGTAAAGCCACTAGTGCGTTCTTCAGACAGTTCCTTAATCTTAATTTTCCCCGGAATATGACCTGCCAAATCGTTTAACCACCAGATACCCATTCACTGCTGGGTGAACAGAGGCTACAGTTAAGGATTGGCATCTAGTCAATCCTCCCAGGCTAAAGCGCTCGCGAAGCACCGGGGCAAATGTATTATCACTGCGCCGTGGGGACTGCTACATTGAATTCCATTTGTCAAGTGTTACTCCATACACTTCCATATGACCAGGTCATCTGGAAGGGCATGACAGTTGTCTTAAGTCTCATATATTCCCTAGTAGCTTAGCATTATCAGCAAATGTGCTCATATACTGTAATTGTCTTCCTTCTGGTAGTCCTTTATTTAGATTACCGACATTACTGGTGTAATAATTGAACTGTCATACTCTGCTAGTAACACTTCTCCAGTCTGATGCATTGCCTCTGATTACTGTCCTCATCTTTCTGGCAATTAAACATATTTTGGCCATGGCAGCAGTCTCCATATTTCATATTCATATTCCAGTTCTTCAAAAAACCTTGTGTGGGACTGTCAAAAGCCATTTTTAGGTCCAGATAAATAGTCAACCCAACCCTCTCTCCTATAGAATCTCTGGCTGCCATAAAAATATATTTTTTTTACACAGGTTCTTCCTGGTTGAAAGCCATATTGACTGCTATTATCATTTCTCTTCGGGTATTCTATAGATTTGGGTTTGACTTTTTCCTCTTGTTTTGATTACCATGCTTGTCAATGATTTGGGTTTATAATTTCAACCCATACTGCTGTGTAGATAGCACTTTTTTTTAACTATGTGCACCATAGTACAAACATTGATGTACTAAGCAATTAGTTTGAACTTTGTACTGTTTACTTTATAAGAGTCCAGCAGAAAAATGAAGCTTAAAAACAAATTTAAACATTCCTAGGCCTAGTATAGTGCACATATGCATTATATTAGGCCTCAGTGTGTATCAGGCCTAGGAAGGTGAGGTTAGTTTAATACATTCCTAGGCCTAGTATAGTGCACATATGCATTATATTAGGCCTCAGATAGTGTGTATCAGGCCTAGGAAGGTGAGGTTAGTTTAATTAGTCTTTGCAACATAGGTAGAAAATAGTTTTCCCAGTTCAGTCCAAATTCAACAGTACAGATTTCAATGTTTTAATTGCATTGTACATTGGTATATGTTCTCTGGTTTTATCCTCCCTATAAGTTCTATCAAAACAGGAGGATGGGCTGATAATTTAGAACATCTTTTCTGTTACTATTTTTGTAGATTTGAATTATTGTACATTTGTCATTTTACATGTATCTACTAAGATTCTTGTACACAAAGATGTCTGAAATATCAAAAGAATTGGAATGCTCAGCTCAGTTGTACATTCTTTAAAAAATAAAAAAAGAAAGTGAAATGCCATCTGATCAACCTGCTTTATTCTTCCTAGCTCCAAGAGTAATTTTTCCACTTGGTCTTGAGACACATCTGTGTACTTTATGGTGTTCTCTGGAATTGGCATTGTCTGGTTGTCTGCAAGCCTCAGTTTGCACACTTTGATAAAACTATTGCTGTTTGTTGACAGAAGACGCCTCGACTTGTAGCATTTTATCTGGCTTGAAGAAGTCTCACATTCATGCTGTTTTCAACAACCTGGAAGAGGTTGTTGAAGGCATTACCCTTTGTGAATTAAATATCACTTGCCACTGAAATTTTACTATATGTATTGGACACTATTAGAGAAGATAAATTTATAATACATTTCAATCTGGAAAATCACTTTGACTGAAGGAACACGATGTAGGCATACCGTAGGCGCACACACTGCTAAATATTAAGTCTGTTTTGAGTTTGTGTTGGTTTCCTTGTGTGTGTGTAATTACCTAAGTGTAGTTACAGAATGAGAGCTACACTCGTGGTGTCCAGTCTTCCCATCACTGTCATATAACGCTTTGAAACTACTGACGGTCTTGGCCTCCTCCACCTTCTCACCTAACTTGTTCCAACTGTCTACCACTCTGCAAAAGTGAATTTTCTTATATTTTTTCGGCATCTTTGTTTAGTTAGTTTAAATCTATGACCTCTTGTTCTTGAAGTTCCAGGTCTCAGGAAACCTTCCCTGTCAATTTTATCAATTCCTGTTACTATTTTGTACATAGTGATCATATCACCTCTTTTTCTTCTGTCTTCTAATTTTGGCATATTTAATACCTCTAGATTGTATTATTATATATAAATTGTATAGTGTGTGTGTCACTTTCTGGGTTAATTTTTCATCGTGGTGCCTTGTATACATAATGCAATCCTTGATGCACCCAGAGGGGACTCCCATGAATAAAATATATGTTTACTCACATTTACACCATTGGTGAGTATAAAGATCTATATATTGAACTGTATTTACTATGTGCCTGCAGAATTGAGTTATTAGTTCTTTGACCCTGCCTTTCTAACTAATCTATTTTTCTTCTATGATGTCGACTACTTGATGTAGTAGACATAAAGTAGGTAAATAGTCCACTATCTACTTGTCTACTGACAAGCAGATAGTATTCTAACTTCTTTCTCTATGATGTCCTACTACTACTACTCTATGATGTGTACTTGACTGCAAAGAGGCAATGGTTCTTCTATGCCATTGATGAGTGCAAAAGGTTGCTATACTTTATGCTGTGTATTTGGGGGTGGTAAGTGTTGGGAGTACTTTGTAATAACATTCAAGCAGGTGGTCAAAATCATACTGTATACATTTATGTGCGGTTTTGTAATTCCTGCACCAATTATTGTTTTCCCCATTTTAACTTTATATATGATGACGTAGCATGGATAGGTTACTTTAGCCAAGAAAATTATTTTAAGCATTACCTTGCAGATGTCAAAGTGATAGTCTGAATATCACCAAAAGACATACTCTTGCTACTAAAATTGTTGTAAAAATGGAGGTTTGAGTGATATAATGTTGGGTGGCGATAACAGCCAATACCTTTCATCTCCTCCAGTCCCTATTGATCCCAATGCCAGTCCTTATTCTATAAGAATATATTGGGACCCAAAATTGTATATACCATTGGTAATTAAAAGCCATTTATGATTCTTGTATTAATAGGCTTTCTATTGTGGTCTGGTCAACATACTTCAGCCACGTTATTGTGGCTCATCGCCTGCATAGGCTTTCTATTGTCATTTTGCATGTTTTTGGATGGCAAAGTGCTAATGTTGTCAAAGACTGACGTAAATGATCGACGGTTTGTCAGTAAGGGCAGGCAGGAGCCACCAAAACATGCCTTTTTAATTTTAACGATATTGTACTCTTCCACACTTGCAGTCATTCCATGTTGTGTAAGGATGCTCACGTTAATTAACATTACTTCTTCCATATTTAACTTCATGACAAGATAGCTTGGATAGGTTTATTTAAGAAGGTTAGGCAAGGAAATATTTGATAGTATTTGCTGGGTGGCAGTCTTTTCTTAGCTTATGGGGAAGGAAAACCAGATAGTATTACTGTACTGTCAGAATAATCCAAGAATTCAGAAAACAATTTGAATAATGGAGGTTCTAGTGAACTGTCAAGAGGGGGAGGTGTTGGTGGTTAATTTATACATGCATACAATTTTAATATCTTGAAATACATCCACTTCATAATTTTCAGCAAACAGTTCAGCCACAGTGGGGAGCGGCACCACAGTGGAGATGGATAACTCCACTTTCTTATGCTCAGGTAGGAGTATTAATATTATCAGTAATAATGATTGAGATAACTCTAGTGATTGTTCCTCAATATAAGCACTACTGTAGGTAGAAAGGGATCAAAGTAACTTGGCTTTAGATATTTGAAGCTACCTATAATTGTCAAAGGGGAAAAACAAAGAGAGTAGTGGGATCCAGAGGGGTTGGGGTAGCTGGCCCTCTCCCTTTACCTATTGGCAGCACCTTCTTCTTGCAGCTTCACATACAAGCAAGCTCTGTAATTTTTGTAATTACAATACTTAACATAAAAATTTTTGCAATTCATTTGGTTGTCAAAGGCAAGATCCAAATTAGTACACATTACGTATTTTCACAGTAATGAGAAGCTTTTTAGGGGAATGTATAAATTGTTGACAGTTTCTATAAATGGGGCTAGATAAATAGCGGTTGCTAATTTTTTAACTGAAGATTTGTATTTTTAATTTTTCCTAAATGCAGCAGCCTGCTGGCAGTTACATATCCAGTGATGGAATGTACACACAAGCCTCACCAACCTACATCGTACCTGACAGAACCTATTGAGCAGTCCCTATTTCCAACATTGTGAGGATCCCAACTGATGGTTTGAAAGTTTGCTTATGGCATTTGCTTAGCCTGGTATTTGTGATTGACTTTATGCTCTGTGACCATCAGCATGCTTGCATGGCTTCTTAGTATTCCAAATGTGCAGTTTGCTTACGCTGTTTTTGTAAATTTTGTGCAGTATTTTAAATATTTAAATTTACAACAAATTATTCCATTTACAGAGTGAGTTTTTGCCCTTTATAGAAAAAAAATTATAAACATGAGAACCCTTTATAAAGTGGCATAAAGTATTGCTAATCAAACAGTAAAAGCAAAAATGTATAGACATTTCAAAATGGTCCATAGACGTCCACTGTGATACTCATATTAATGAGAGACTATTTTCATCTTATAGGCTCCAAATGATCTGTCCCCACACGCAACTTGCATATATATTCACTTGGAAAATATCAAATATGTCATAATCACTGTTGGTTTGACAAGATATTCTGAGTAGTGGTCTGAATGTCCCTTTTCCATTAATTTACATGTTTCTTGGCTCGCCAGATAACGTATGCATAGTTTGTGCAGTGTTGGAGCTAACCTAGGATGAGTTTTGTCTTGTATGAAGATCATGACAGTGTAACTCCCTTTGTTGTTGCTCATGGCTGGAACCAAATGGTATACAACTGTCACATTAAACTAAATGTGTGTGTCACAGGTTGTGTTAAAAATATACAGTACAGCACTGTATGTAGACATGCTGCATGGTGAAGGGATTAATTTCTTTGCAAGATACGGCAATAGATTTTGGTGGGGCAATTGCAGTTTTCAAATTTTGACGTAGCTGCTAGTTGAAAAAAAAAAGATATATTTGTGCGTCTTTATTTGGTAACTTACTGTATTTTGGTTACAGCCTTTAATTTTATGCTTGTCATTTTTGCTTTCTTGATGTGTGGCACTGGCTTTTATTATTGTTAAGAGATGGTTACCTACTGCACTGAAGGTCTTTCATGCCTCTTTTTGTTCAGTTTTAAGAGCAAAGCAATATATACAGAAAATCATTGCTTTAATAGTAGCCAGTGAAATGGCTTTGAAAGACTTTTACTTCAGTCTTAATGATTAGTATTTGCATGATTACTAGGTTATTGGTAATTAAATAGGAAGATAAGGTAAGTCATGTTAATAGTGAAGACTCATCCTGGTTACTTAAGCCATTTTAAGTTGGTATATGTTTAGTAGTATAATAGTTTAAAACATATGTTAGTCAAATTATAAATTTACATTACAAATGTAGTTTTGAATTTCTAACCCTTCAACTATGCATATTAGCCAGTGTTTTATTGGTGGTGCATGTGTCGAACAAGGTACATTTTAGGCATAGCGTAAGATTTAAAACTCCGCGGGTACACGGAATACGCATCTACCTTCTTAGATTTCCAGTATTTTAATTTTCTCAAAGATGCCATCTTGGGAATACAGTGAATGACATGTGAATACAGTGCGATAGCAGCAAAAACGTTGTTTGTTCTAATATTGTGGTGCATATATTAGTGACAATAATATATCTGCACATACTGATGTGCTATACTGTACATTGTGGTATAGATAATATTGACAGCCCAGTGCATTGCCTGCAAAACCTATGGTAAAAGTACTAAAATTATAAAATGAAATACATTCAATATGTGCAGTTACAATTAGGTGCAAAATACTTTAGCAGGGTTTAGGCTGAGCTTGGATCAATGGTTATGTCATTATCACCCACCAAAATTGCTTAGTGGTTTGTAATGGTGCATAAACATTAGAAAGTTATAATGTGAATATGCTGTGATAATAGCAAAAATGTTTTATTGTTCAAAGAATATTGTGTACATATTAGTGTCACAAATATATTTATTTCTATCAGTGTTCAATGACTAGACTTAAAAAGTCTAATTCCCTTTAGTAGGTAAATTATTCTTGTAGACCAATTAGACCAAATACTGAGGTTGTGTTTTACATGTGGTAGTTCATTGTAATAAAAAGGGCAAAATTTAATGGGACAAATTTTAAATTGGTGATTTCTTTCAGCCTGAGTGTGGTCCCCAGCAGTGTTCGGTAGAGCCCAGCAGCCAAGCTCAAGGGGAATTTGCCACGGCTTCTGTTCTGGGAAGCTCACCCCTCGCCTCCACTCCTATCACCCTGGCCTGCCCCTCCACACCCACTACCGCTACTACCACCACCGCTGTTTGTACCGCATTCACTACTACCTCCTCCACTTCCACTAAAACCACAGCTACTACCTCCACTATCACTAAAAGCGTTAGAACACACGACACTCTGCTGCAGATCAAGCCCCTCTCTTTGGCTTCAAAATCCACACTGTGTGGGAAGTCTAAAAGCATTCCCACAGTTGTCCCAAAGACCACATTGTCATTGGACAAGAATAATAATACAGCTGAGGTAAGATACTAATTATTGTCCTATTGTCTAACAATTTTGTTTACCCATGTTAGAAAGTTATTAACAAATCTGCCAAAGCCTAAGATTAACTTTATTTGCACATCTTGCATACGCGTAGTTATTTGTGTAGCTAATCGGGTTATTGGTTCGAGCCTTTCACATAATCCTTGCATTTTCATAAACGCTTAACTGCTAACCAGTAATTTAGTAGTTCACATCTAATATTTTTCCTAAATTTTGAAACAAATTATAGATTCAGCAGGTTGGATTACTCTGCTAAACCTCTTGCACCCAAGTTTTGTATGAAATTTTTGTTTTGGTATCTTTAACACACCATCAGCCATCCCTATTTTCTTCACTATTATTTTGCAAAAGCGTCCATTAATCTGTTGATGAAAATTGTGGTAAGAATATTGTACATCTGTAATTATATAATTTGAATGAAGAAAAATGTTAAAGGTGTTTTAATACAGTACTGCCATTAAAAATAGTATATACTAAATGGGTATAAACAGGGGGGAGGGGGAACTTTAAAGGTCATTTGGTGTTCTACATTAAGAAACTGGTATAAAATAAAATGAGACCAGGATGCTTCATGACCTTGTGGCTTCTTGGCACACATGGCTGGAATTATCGGTGAGGGGGGGGTGTTTGGTGGGTGGTGAAGAGAGCTGGATCTCCAGAGAACTTCATTTCTGCTGACCAAATTAATTTTTTTTGTGTTAATTATCATTACCAGAAGGTTATGAGGTGGTGATTTATGAGTGGCAAAAGATTTAAGTGGTTGATTATGCCTTACATGGCATCTCGAAATACTGTATATGTAGACTGAAATATTTAGTGATCTACAGTAATAATTAAAACAGTTTATTAGTTGCCAGATGTACTTAAAATTTTAATTACCTTATGTAGGACAAACTAGCCCAATTATTCAATCTATTAAAAGGGTACTTTAATAAGCACAATAAGATCAGAATATCCCTTTAGATTAGCATTCATGTGTGCTAGCTTGTCTGCTCATAAAATTTAATAGTATGAAATGTAATTTCTATCCAGTAGCTTGAAAGATTTTGCATACCACATTAAAAAAAAAAAATCTACATTCACCATTATTATTATTACCCCTATTCCCACTTGGAGGTGGGGTGGTACTTGCTCATAGAAGAGGCTTACATAAAGTAGAAACAAGACCAAAAATACTGTAAAATAGAATTTAGTAGTTATTGACGAGGGCATATTAGTTGCCTACTCTGTAATAATAATTGTTCATATGGCAGCATCACTGGACACTGGTACAGTCAAACTAGGAATTTTATTCCAAGTAGTACTTCATAGTTTCATATTGTTAGATATTAAGTACTCAGTTTGAATTGTCCCCCCCTCCCCCCTCCCAGCAAAATATCATTTTCCTCCTGACGTGCTTTCACTCCTATTCATTGCTGCTACTTGTGTAGCGTGTTGATCTTCATCTGCTGTCCTCTCCCTCCTTTTCTTTTACTTCCCCCCCCCCCCCCTTTTATTTCCCATCATCTGCTACATCAACATCTAGAAATAGCTGTTCATAAATGGCCTAATAATCAAATTCCACTTTGGAGCATTCTCAGAATCCCATACAGGAGATTACATGGACAGTGAAATCTGGATCCCAAAATACAGTTTATATAGGTGTGACAGGGTATCCACATAGCTCTTAAACTCTACAAATGAGGTGGAAGATGTGCTTAGATTCAAAGTACAAAACATAAACCTTGTTATTATTTGAATATACAAACTGCAAGATGCAAAGGGTGGAATTCACAAAACAGATAAACAAAGATAGAATTGCCTTAATTACAGTATCTAGAAAACATGGTGGAAACATTGAGGAAATTGACCTCAAAATAACCGATCACAGGTCAGAAAACTATTTGGAATCTAAAATATTTTTTTGCTCAGTCACTCTTTAGACAATGAAAAAATAACCGGGGTCATTAACACTATCGTGTGCCACAGAAATGACCCCATGCTCCGTTGGGTGTGGGCGAGCATGCGGCGACACCGAAAAGCGTGCACTTGTTTCAGTTTTCTCACCTTAATTCTCGTGCTACGTCGTTCGTTTTGGTATCCTTATGTTCACATAGAATTCCCTACAGGGGGTTATCTTGAGGTTATCTTGAGATGATTTCGGGGCTTTTTAGTGTCCCCGCGGCCCGGTCCTCGACCAGGCCTCCACCCCCAGGAAACAGCCCGTGACAGCTGACTAACACCCAGGTACCTATTTTACTGCTAGGTAACAGGGGCATAGGGTGAAAGAAACTCTGCCCATTGTTTCTCGCCGGCGCCTGGGATCGAACCCAGGACCACAGGATCACAAGTCCAGCGTGCTGTCCGCTCGGCCGACCGGCTACCCGGGGTATATGCATACAAGGTCCAAAAGCCTGCCGTGACTCCCCACAGCAAAGCCTAAAGTCGGCAAAGTTACCTGTGAGCTTGCAAAATCAGTAAAATGTGTATACTTGTCAGTTTTCTCACCTTAATTCTCATGCTACGTCGTTCGTTTTGGTATCATTGTGTTCGCAGTAGAATTCTCTACACGGGTATATGCATATGAGGTCTAAAAGCCCGGCGTGACTTCCCACAGCAAAGCCTAAAGTTGGCCAAGTTACCCGTGAACGAGCACCAATTGGGACACCTACAGACTAATGCATAGACTTGTTCAGTTTAATAACAAAAATTTTTGTGTTGTGTGTTTCATTTTGGTATCAAATTGTTTGCCAAATAAAGGCACACATTTTAAAACTTTAGAGCGGGAAAGTCCTGCCTTTCCCAGTTACTCGGGACTGTGACAAAATCTCGGCAGCATTGTAAGAAAACCAAAACAGATGTTGTATACATGAACTTTGCAAATACATGTGATAAATGTTACCATGGAATGAGTTCATAAAATGAGATTAATAGGAACAACGGGTCAAGTACTGAAATGGATATTCAAATTTTGTTTCAAAGAGAGTCGTTGCCCAGTGAAAAGCTTTGTACCCTATGGCACAGTCCTCGAATCACTGCTTTTTCTCATTTGTATCGGGTAAATCAATGCAATGCAAGGTAATGTACAGACTCAAATAAAAGTCTCAGCTTCATGCCATCCTTTGCAGACTATAAAAATAAAGATCTGCATAAAAATTACTTCTATAGAAGATATTGGAAAAACTGAAAGCTGATAAAATGCTAAATAAAAGTTTCAATTGGGCAATGGAAAATAACATGTTAACAGAAATAATTTCCAGATACAATACAGTACAGTACCTAGGTATGGTAAAAATGAGCTAAAATTAAAAAAAAAAAAAAACAAAGATCTCCTCATAGAAGAAACACAGCATGTAAAGTGGTGGGATAATGTAAGACGACCTAGCATTTAGTGTGTGTAACAAAGCAAATATAGCATCAACCAGGAAAATGATAGAATGGATTATGGGAACTATCAAATCCAGGGGTTCCACTACACTGTTCCTACTATTGAAATCACCCGAGGTCACATGTTTTGAACACGGCTTGTTGTTTACTTACTCATTCAAAGCAGGAGAGATTTCTGAAATAAAGGGAATACTGAGAAAATATATGGCATGCATACACACAATAAAGCTCCTAAATTATTGGAATCGTCACAAAAATCTCAATGTGCTCTCTAGAAAGTAGATGAGAGGTATTACATAATATACACATGGAAGGCACTGGAAGGCCAGGTTCCTAATATGCACAGCAAAATATACTGCAACAAGCAATATAGTAGGAAATGAAGAACAGACCTAGTGAAGAGTAGAGGTACCATAGGCACATCAGATGTCCATAGCTATTCAACATCCTCCCAGCAAACACACAATGTTACCAGTACAAAAGTGGACAAGTTCAATAAAAAAAACTCTTGCAAGAAGTGCTGGACCAAACAGGTTGTAGTGAATATGTAGCCCTGCAAGCCACCTCCAAGCACCAGCCTGTGTGTGGAGTTATCACAAGTCGAGCCTGGGCCCTAGCCAAATTTGGGGAATAGAAAAATTTCCAAAACCCATGCCAGGTATACTCCAGGTTACCCCCTTTGTCAATCCCATTCATGGCCTCCCCCCCTTCATTGCCCCCCCTCCCCCCCTTCATTGCCCCCCCCCCCCCCTTCCCCTTTGCTGCCTCCTGGCCTTTATCTTCTATCACAAAACCTTGGGACATTGTCTTCACAAGTGTATCATCCATTCATTTCTACTAATATTTAGGTCTAGTTAAATTAATAGACATGCATTGGAGCACATGTTGCCTATAGGTCGTGGGTTCTCACATGTGTCCATATTTCTAGATTTTTAAGTGCCTATATTCATTAAATTTCAATAACAATTTGTCACTCAAATGCAAACATAAAATATACTGTACAGTACCATATATAAATGTACGTACACCATGCTTTTGCATGTTTAATACACCGTTTACATACCATGCATATTTCTGGTAGGGTCTCCTCGGTAGCTCCCCGAGCTACCCACCTGGGAACTTCCAGACGCATGTTACCACACTCGTGCTCTAATATACATGAGCACCTGCTGGAAGTCAGAACTGGAATCTGGCTCCCCCTTAATAAGAGACAAGGGGAACCTGGGGATACTAGATCACCCCAATAATCAGAAGGGAAAAACCACCAGAAATGTAGAGCAAACATGCAACTGAATGGGCAATATTGGCAACCCTGATATAGATCATGCAAATGCTTGTGTGGTGCTAGCTTGCAACACGTAATTGTCAACATATGACAGCCCTAGCCATCCAGCTCCCTCGTTCATGCGCCATCCACGTAACAACTCCTGAATTCCATCGAAGGGAAGGACAGGAATGGGGAGCCATTGAGGGACCAACCAGAAAGTAATTTTATTACGTCTAATGTTGGATTTCTGGTAGAGCCTCTCGCTCCTTGGTAGCTTCCCGAGCTAATTCACTACAAGCAAAACAAAATGGTACCTTATTGTGGGAGGAAGAGGGTGATGCCAGTAATCCCAAAGGAATTGGCACTGGGTCAACTGACCAAATGCCTCACTCCCAGTGCTGCCGGGGAACATTCACCAGGAGTGAATGTTCTGGTTGGAACACCAGAACCTCTGCCCATAATATATTCTCGAAGAAAGCAGTAAATGGAGCATACTTGCGTTCACCAAACAAATAAAACCAAAATCAGTAGGTCGTAAGTGCTGTGATCTGCGACCATTAAATATTAAAGCAAGGTAGTTCAACATGAAGCTGCAATGAATTAACATTTTCTTGGCAGGGCCGATTCAAAAATGGCAGCAAGCGCCACAAAGGATGAAACATTAACCCCACCTCAAGCTACATGAGCACTTTGGAATGACAAAGTGCACCAAACTCCCAGAGAAAACTGAGGAAGATCGGGCTCCAAACTGCAATGAAGACAGCAAAATGTACCCAAACTAAAGAAGCTGGATCAATCAAAGCATACTTGTGGTCCTCCAACAGGTACTGAACCATCTGCACCACAGACACCCAAGACAATGTAAAGCTAGAAAATGATGATGAATCCACAGCTGCTATTAGAACCTGGAAATGTACATGAGGAGCCACAAAGTAATCCAGCTGAAATTGTGACTGAAGTTAGGAAAGCTATCCATTGTAGAGTTCACAACCCCCAGAACCATGCACTAGATACCACCAAGGTTTAAAGGGCACCTGTGAACCTCCTTTGGGCTTCTCCACCACACCTGAGGCCTTGGTAACATTAAAACAGCAGACCCCTGAAGCAGGATCTGATGCTTTCAGCAACAGTCGTCCCACTTTCCCCACCCAAGAGAAAATAGATGCCACTAAAGCAGATTATTGCGGTGATTCACATGTTCAACTATCTTCATGGTAGGTTAGAAAGGAGCACTTCCCTAGGAAAGTCCTTGCATCCCACAATAGTCATGGACCCCAAGGACAAGGAATGCTTAGATGCCTGAAAAAGTGTGCATCAAGAAGTGTCCTGACTTCAATAAACAGTAAAGGCACCAAACCTGAGGTGTCCAAGCTTAACCAAGGCTGCAGAAAACAAAAACACAACACCGTCCTGTAATAATGAGGCCACTGCCAGATAAGCTGCTGCCCGGGGAGGCGGCTCGGCCAAGACCAAGGACCACATGACAGACCTCACAACAAGGAGGATGAGGGGGAAATAATTGACCCAACAGGCTGAGTGGCAGAGACAGAAAAGGTGCCCATCAGTGTGAACCAAAACAAAGGAACACCCAAGAAAACTGCACAGCAGCAGCAGCAGCAAACTGAGGAGGGTTTCATAACACTTGATAAACAAGACCTGTAAGAAGCAGTTGGCACCAATCTGGTACAAACAGGCTGGAACACGGTTGTGGGGAAATAATTGCGAACCCATCCATGCCGTACCCTTGTCTGGGAAAACACTGCAAAGGGAGGCATAAGCTGCACTATGTAGGGTGAAGAACCATGAAAGAAGGAAAAAACCTGACGGATACCCTCCCTAACCTTCTCATTTAAGATACAGTAACCTGTACCAAAGGCAGGGACAAAACCAGTGGCAACTAGAGAAAACAAGTAATCACATGCCGGTGGCCTCCTCGGGTGGCCAGGGCTACTATCTGTTGGTAAGATAGTTGTTAATTAGCAGTTACTTTCCACTAACAAGCATAAGCATCGTTCATGTTATCTATGCATTTGCATGTTTTGTTTCACTTAGTTTTTCTGGTGGCTTTTTACTTCTGATTACTGTGGTGTAGTACTGTCAGGGTTCACTTTTCTCTATTAATGGGAGCCAAATTCTGGTCCTGGCTTCCAGCAGGTGCTTGTGTATCTTAGAGCCGAATGTGTTAACATAGGTCTGAAGTTCCCAGGTGGGTAGCTCAGAGAGCCACCGAGGAGGCCCTACCAGAGAGGCATTTAATTTCATGTTTAATACACACATACAAACCCTTGCTGTTTGTATGTGTGTATTATGCCTATGCATGTTTATAAAAAATTGCTGTGTGTGCCCACTGTAAATAGGTTAACCATGTGTGTGCATCATCCATATGTGTACACCATACATTCATGCATGTACACCGTGTGTATGTGTACATTGTGTGTTCACGCATGCCTACAGTAAGTGCACGTTCTCTGATTTTTTCATGTAGCATTAGTAATGGAAATCCTCCTTATTTATCTTTCTATTTACCTTGATGCACTAGAATGTAATCATGCCCGCCCATATGTTTTGTTCTTCCAGAGAAGAAAAGTCGTATTTTCTGTTGCACTGTTCTGTTCCAGTACCTGTTTGGTAGCATGTCTCTGCACTTTTTGATGTTTTTCTTTATTAATTACACCACACTCCTCTTTTATCCTCTGACTTAACACTTTAGTGGTTCAACTCTTCATGCACCCAACTGGAAACATTCTGGGATTCTCAAAACTCTGCTCAGTGATGCCTGAAACATACATATTCTAACGTTTTGTTTTTTCAGGTATAGCTGTACATTCAATAGTCAGTGTTTACAAATGAATGTTGTAGAATATTGATGCAAAAATAAAAAAAATATGCACATGGATGATAATAATGCTTGACAAAACTTTATAAATGTTTATGTACATTTCAACATTCTTTTGTATTTCTTCAAACATAAGTCAAAATATAAGAAATGGAAATGGGCACACACAATCAATTTCTATAGCTGTAGAAAAAATATAAATATCTCCAATTTTCCACCAAGTACTTTGTAAAGCAGAAAGATGGGGCACAAGGAGCTATTAATGCTTGAGTGGTGGTGGTTAGCAAGAGGTGATCTCTGGTTAGTCCCCTGTTAAGCTCTGCCAACATTGTGCTCATTTGCAATACACACGCACCAAAAAAATGGAAAATACGGTACAAATATAGGACGACTCATTTTAGGATCATTGCAACGCTAAAGTGTTAAGAATGTTGTTAGTTATCTGTTTAGCATTTGTATTCGTGGTTTAGCATGTTGGTACAGGTATTAGTTTAGAGTATCCAGCAACCCTTAATTTTGAGATGATGATAAATACTTCATCTCGTGTAATGTATGGCGAAGAAAACGTTTAAGTTGTGCTCTGTATTTGTATCCTGTAATTTCTTTTGCTTATATGATCTTGAGCATAGTACAAATGCTTTATAAAGTGTTTTGCTTTTTTATTCTGATCTTTCTCAGAGAACTTCCATTCTTAAGAGGTTACCTACATGAATATTTCTGGTATTTCAATGTTCGTGTGATACACTTTAGAAGCAGCATTACATTCAAAGATTTCTGACTACTATTTTAGATATTAGTGTGAAATAATTGCCACTTTCATTGTTGCAATGACAAAAATTATTTGCAGGAAAGTGCTTCAGGTTTATTAAAAATTTCAGATGGCATTTTATTTTCAAATAAAAAGTTGTTGTTACCTTTTATGAATTTTAGAAAATAAATGTAATTTTGTTTTCAGATCAAAAAAATTATATTAAATTTTTTCTACCAAGGAAAGTAATAAGTTTGTGTTGACCACTTGTAATGTGTGGCAGGGTAGCAAGGTGGGTGGGGGAAGCGTCAACGGAACACCTCCCAGTACCCTGCAAACATCCCACCCAGGTTCTTACGTTCAGAGCCATCACAACAACAGAAGCAGCAACGGCGACAGCGACAGCAGCAGCAACAGCAACCCCACCACCAACAAAATCAGTATATCCAACAACTCTGTGGTTTCATCAACCAGCACAATTCACAGCAGCTGCCACAATTCACAGAGCAAAACAGACAAGAACTGTGGACTGGTGAGCCATATGAAAAATATGCAAGTGGGGGCAACACAGAAGGTTCAAGAACTAGAAAGCAGCAAACCATTGTATCAGATGCAAATGAAGAGTGGAAGTCCAATTGGTGTAGGCAGCCACCCATTCCATGTGCCTGGGTGCTACATGGAGGTTATGAGCAACAGCAGCAGCAACAGCACCACCACCACCACCAACAACAGCAGCAGCAACAACAACAACAACAAAAACAGCAGCAGCTTGCAGAGCAACAACATTGCTGGGACTGGGGAATGGCCACCAGTGACACCAGTTGGGAAGAGTGCAGGATGGGGGTCCCATTTGGGACATTCTACCTCATGCCCTCATCATACTGGAGGAATGACACCTCTTCCTGGCAGTCCTACAACTCTACAGGCATCTCACCTACTAATGTCCCCATCATGGACATCCCTTGGATGGCCTCTGACTCCATCACATACTCGTCCATTCAACCCCAGGAACACGACAGACAACAATCACAACAACGTCAACAAGGCCATGTGGTTGCCACACCAGAGTCATTCAACACTCAGAGAGACTTTACCGTGTGCAGGAGCCCAGCTACAACAGTCTTCCCAAGATCCACAATCCTCAGCATGCCCCCAAGCATCGGGCACATTAATTACAGCATCCCATACCAACACTCCGACAATTCAAGGCAAGGGTACATCCCCATGCTTGATAACTGTTCCCAACAGCAGCAGCCTTACCACCAGTTTAACCAATACTTCGAGCAACAAGACGACCAGTCCCTTGAGCAATTCAACTCAGTCAGTGAGCCCTTACCTGGCTCCATACCCTGGGAGTGGACTCAAACAGATGACTTATGGGTATATGAACCAAGCACCTTTGTTAATGATGCCATATTACCAGTATGGGGGAACAGCAACACCATGTTACCAGTGGGCTTCTCCTGTAGTGATGCAGTGGCCATTGACCCCGACTCCTACACCACACCACTCGACCCCAACTCAAACCGTAGCATCAAAGGTGTCGGGGACTTTTCAGCCCCGCTTAACTCTGCCCTTCACTCCATGGAGCCCTGAAAATAAAACCATTCCCAAGCCTCAAAGCATGACTGTTAAATCCAGTGAGGTAATATCAAGTTCATCCAGCAACAACAGTCAGTGTTCTGGGCCAAATCATGGTAATATTACAATAAGCAAAATGAATCCTTGTCTTGATCGTAAAGTGCACGCTCCAGCTCATTGCGTAAGCCCTAATACATACGAGAAACTGTCTGGGCAGAAGCAAACCGATGGTTGTAAGGTATCGAATTCAGGTTCTTCATACAAAATCTCTTCACCTTGCAAAGTAGTTTCATCTCCACACAAATTTCCCAAGCCAGTTCTTCAGTCAAGTCCTCACCAGGTAGTGTCTGCCAGACAGTGTTTTGGTTCTCATGCAGAGGTAGATGTTAGTGTGTTGCCACCTTTACAAGATGACCATTGTGTGTCAGTGCCCATGACCCCACCTTCCACTCCCTTGCTTGACACGGATAATCCTACTGCTGCAGTTGCTAATTTGAATGAATCCTAAAGTCCACTACAGAATGCCAGTCATAGCTGGCTTGGCGTTGCTTTGTTCAGTGCTTAAGGTTATGTTATCTGGAAAGTCTTTTGGTCAGGAACACCAAGGATATGACTTCATTAAAAGTCATTGAGAGCATAATACAAGGTGTCTTCATTATGCATATTGTGTTCATTTTATAAGTGCTTTCAGAATTACTAGGAATCAGTGGTTGTTGACATTGTGAATAACTTGTGGCTCTTGTGTTTGTGCCAAAGTCTTCCCTCCCAATTTCTGTCTCGGCAGCCTCAGTGTACCCTTTATCTCCCTTTGTATGTTAAAATGCAAGTCTTTATACATCATAACAAAATAATACCTATGGTTTGGTCACTAGGAGGCATTTCTCATTTAGTTTGCTCAGTTACTACTTAATGTGATAAGGTAACTAAAGTAGCAAGTTTAGGAACAATTGGAAAAATAAATTTCTGTAAAGTAATTTGAAATTCTCATTTTCTCATTTAGTAAAACATTGCAAACTTCAGTAAAGGGCAAATTACTGTATTTTTTAAATACACTTGGAATCATCATCATCATGTGTTTCAGAGCACAAAACATGGTAAATAGATCTTTGCTCTTGCACGAAAGTGACATACACAGCTATTTATACATAATGAATTGTTAAGTTTCAGCTATAACAAATTAAAAACGAAGTAGACATTCAGTCTCATTTTCCCATGTTTAAAGTAGAGGTGTGCATGTACTCTGCTGTGGTGATGGCATTAAACTGGGAATATTTGTAAAAAAAAAAAAAAGTGTTGTATGAAAGAAGCAATGTTGTCATAATGATATATTAAGAAAGGTCAGTTTCCTCTATTTTTTTTTTTTTGATGGGGGGGGGGGTTATTTGTTCATGTTGCCAGTACATGAAATTAAAAACATTCTTTTTGTGAAGGAGGATACTGGACCAGGGAGGGAAGCTACCACTAAGGCAGTAAGAGTTTTGTGCAGCTCTCCCTCTTAGTGTTTGTGTACATATAGGCATTTTGTACTGGAATTTCCAAAATCTCCTCTTGAAGATTGTATTCCTGACAAGAGATGGCCGACATTGCCCTGAAAATTTTAAAGAAAATTATTGAAATAGGTTTTTTTCTGATTATTAGCCGATAAAGATTTTTTTATAGCAAATGCAATAAGGTTTTCAATGTTTTTGGAGATATTGGAAGTTCTACTTTTGATATATTCTTATATATGGTGGATGACAAAGGAACCAAAGATATGTGTGAGAGTTTGGAAAGGAATGTGATTTTATATTAAAAAATCAGTTACTAGTGGTAAAGACTTAAACTTTACCTTATTTTTTAAATTGTAAAAAAAATACTGGTTGTGAATTTAATAGTATCAATATGTGAAGTTTTCCAACTGCTGTTAGGAAAATTTTTTATGTCATTGGAAAGTGCTAGCTTTTACTTAAGTTTTATAGTAAATTCATCCAGCTTGTTAAGTAAAGGGGGCTGCACTTAGATTAGAGTACACACACACACACACACACACATACATAAATACATACATACATACATATATATACACACACACACACACACACACACACACACACACACACACACACACACACACACAGTGCAGGTATTATTGTCTTTTATGGAAATTCAGTGTGCCTTCACTTTTGTGAGAAATTAAATATTTACTAATGTGAACAATATTGTATTTTTTTTTTAAGTATGCATACAAGGCATTGGAGTTCAAGTGTGCATCATGCATGCTGATACATACAATTGCAACCTGTCTACAATGGTCAAAAATATCATTTATTTGCATTAGTGTTACTTTCCCTCCTAATTACATTTTCAGTGCAATATTGCCTTTATTTTATATATGTTTTAAGCAGAGATCTATCCAAATTTTATTTATTTCTATTTATACTGTAAGCATATCATCCTTTAATATTCCCTATTGGTTGTGAGTCAGTGTAAGCTTAATTGATGCTTACTGTAGGTTAAGGTTATGCTTGGAAGAATCTGCAGTAATCCTTAAGATGTAGTGTTAATATGGAAATATCCCACTGGTGCTTGGGGAATTTAGTGCTGGTTGTATGTTAAATTTCTATCAGTCAATTTGTCTATCATATATTGGAGTAAAAGGCATTTTACTTTATTCAATTAACATTAGGACCTGTGAGAAACCTACAAGCCTTAGAATATAGTGGTAAGTGTGATTACAGTGAAGTGTGGTTGTTGTTAATGTAAATCAGTCAATTTGAAAATGTCAATCTTAATTTTTGGGCATTTATACTGAAACACTGCCACGTATAATGGTTTATTGCCTTAAGAAAATATATACAGTACTATACTCTTGATAATGGAGCAATTTACAACACATTAGGGCATTATAGACACTTATAATGGAAAAAATAAAAACTAGTACAGTATCATTACACTGTTCACATACTAAACAGTTTTGTATTTAAAAGTATAAACATGTAAATTGGATTGTTTAGGTGAATTGTAAGTTATCACTACGCCTTACGGTTCATGCATTTGAAATGTGAATTTCTAGTTCTGGATAACTGGGATAAATAGTATGTGCCTGTGAAGCAAGGAAACTAGTCGGTTGTACTTCCTCGTGTGAGTAAATCAAGTAATAAGATTTGGTCTTTCATTGAGCTGTCCACAATCTGGTATTAACTCGCTTCTTAATACGGTAGATACTAATTAAATAATTAAAGCATGTATACAATGCAGAGTTGGAGCATGCTATTGCATGTCATTGGCTAAAAAAAAAAAAAAAAAAAAAAAAAAAAAGAATCGAGATATCAAAGATCCAAGCCATTAAGGATGAAAAGATTGCATATAGCTCTGCCTCCCAGAGGCTGAGTAGTGAGGGAGTAGTTACACTTGTCATTTAGTGCAATATATTGTTTTTCTTTCCCCCTCCTTTCTGTGGCAACTGAAGGTGCCCATTTTGGCACGCACCTTTTTCCATTATTTTGGTCCATGTCTTCCAGCCAAAGCTCTAAAAATTTGATATAAAGGGAAAATCTCTCAGGTTTTTCCATGTGTGTCTAGAAACTGATGCTTGGCAATCGCACTGGTCTTGTTCATATTTTTACATTTTTTAATGTCACCTTGGCCTTTTAATGGTTTTTCTATCACTGCTTTTTTAATCAAGAATGATGTTTCTTTTTTTCCTCCTACTTTTATGTTGAACATCTATGTAACTACTGTACTTGTATTTTCCTAAATATTGTACTAGTATGTTCTCATTACTGTATCTCCCTCCCAGCTTTCTAAATTCTCTTGTTCCCTTTAAATACAGGTGAACTGACATCTCCATCTCTGTACCTGTACTATATCTTCAACTTTCTCTTTCTTTACTTCCATTTATCTAGACCTGGCATAGCAAGTCCTTGAAGACCAGCATAAATGACCACTTTTCCGTTATCTTGTCCCTTAATTTTTTCACCCCTCTATCCATTTTATTTGGTGCTATATGATGGCACCTATTTTTTGGTATTTGCAGAAAAAAAGGATTTTACTATCTTTACCTTAATTCTATGCATGTCCTGTCATGTTTTCTTTTTTCCTTTTAGCTAACTTTACTTGAACCTGCCCACTCCTCAATACTGTGCTATGCCTCCAATGGATAGCAAGTATGTTCCATTGTGGAATTCGGGCTGTTAGTGGCAAACTTGCAGCCTGGAAGTAGCACATCTACTGCCGGACCAGCCCATTCTCAAGAGTGTTCCCAACATCAAGAAACTGTCATACTTAAGTGCCTTATCCTAACCTACCAGAGGACATTTGAACAGAAACGGGAACATTGTCAATTTCTAGTACAGCAGTTTTTGGCCTTTGGTAAAGTATGTCAAATGTGACGCTTTTAGGAGGACGGGTTGGCTAGATGGCATCATCAATTATTTGCTCAAGAAAGCCATTGCAGTGATCTGTAGGGTCATTCGTTCTGCAAAACACAATACAGTAGTTGGAGAGCTTTTCCACTCTTATCAATATTAACAACCTTCTTCCCTTTCTAGACGAAGATTCGTAAGCTTGTTGACACACACTCATACCAGAGGTTGCATCAGAGGTTCTGTTATTGCAAGAGACAATGTCAGTCTTTAATGAGGTTGGCTACCTATTCTCTGCTATTTGCACTGGTTCTCATGTTCATCCTGGTATCCTTGCCCAAAAAATCTTTGAATTGCAGTTTTGAACTTGACCATACAATTTTGATATTAAAATTATTGCTTCATTTCAGTCTGCCACTCAGCAGCAGCAGGCTCATGATATCCATTATGAAATGCTCCGTTCCCCTACCCATATTTATAATCAGATCTTGAATTCGGTGTGTCCCAGAGACCTCGTGTGATGTTGCCTTCTGATTAAGAAGCGTTATTCAAAGGGCACTTTACCTGGGAATTTTTGCCACTTTGCCTGTAACCAATTGCATATGTTAGCTTTGCAGTGTATGGTAAGCGTGTCTTCATTCCTCTATTCATCAGCCAACGTTCCTTTCTTATTGTTGACTTAAGTGCCCTTAATGGCTCGAGAATCTCTTAACCCTTTCCATCCTGTGATGGTCGGAATTCAATTCTGGCCGTTTCAATTTTTTTACTAGATTCAAGACAGTCAAACTTTACTATACACTCAGTCTTATTGTGAATGATCATGCAGACACTGCTGCTGAGGTTCATTTGTACCTGACCCATCTCCCATCAAGGAAATTCTAACCTATCATTCATGGTGAGTGGAGTACTACCAAGTTTCATCTTGGGGCCAACACTGTCATATACATCACTGACATAGATAAGAATATTACAAACCACATCAAAATTTACAGATGATACCAAGATAGATCTATAGTAAAGTGGGAAGCGAAAATGATACCGAGGCCTTCCAAAGAAAGTGAATTCTGCAAATGGTCAAAAGAAAGGTCAAGTGACAAAAATCGTCCCAGAACTAAGTCAACTGTAACAACACTACAAAACAGGCATGATGGGGCTGATCTCATTTGAGACCTTTAAAATTTATAATATAATTCATTGTGTCAGAGGACAGGATTCAACCCCACAAGCTAGCTCTTGGGTACCTATTTATTGCTAGGTGGATGGGGGTATTAGGTGATAGGAAGCATGTCCAACCATTTATGTCCCATCCTAAGACTTGTGCTATGACTTACTCGGAAGAATGTTGTTCTTCGTCCCTCTGTTGCTTTATGGCCATTCCCTTGTGTACAAGGATTCCGCTAAGCTTTTAGGGTTAATCTTTGACACTTGTTTGTCTTTGTTACCCCATATCTCTTACCTCCGAGTTGAATGCTCTAAGGCCCTTACCCTCTAAGGTAAGAAGTACCCTCCCATACTTCTTGGGGAGCGGATAGACGCGCACTCCTCGCTTTACATTCCTCTCTCGTCTTGTCTAAACTTGATTATGGTTGCCCTGCTTGCTCGTCTGTTTCTCCTATTCTTCGCCGTCTTGGTGCTTTGCACCATACTGGGTTGCGCCTCAGTTCTGATGCCTTTCGTGCGACTCCCGTCCTCAGCTTGTATGCTGACACTGGCTTCCTGTCTCTCCAGAACCACCGTGATCGCTACTGTCTTCGCTATCTTGCGCGGTCCTTGCAACATCTTTCCTCTCGTCTCTTTTGTGCTTTAACTTTTACCCCTCCTGTGGTTCCTGTTCCTCTTCACCACCTCCCTCTTTCTGTCCAGTTATCTTGCTTACAGGATTCTCTTTCAGTTCATATTTCTAATGTTTCTCCTTGTATTGTTCCTTCCTTGCCCCTGTAGAGAGTCCCCCTTCCGAAGTTTTGTACATTTTAGACCCGCATCACTAAAGTTTTTACTCCTCCTACGGTTCTGAAACGCCTTTTCCTTGAGCACTCTTCTTCGTACTCCTGCTCCGTTTCCATCTTCACTGATGGGTTTAAGTCTGCTGATGGTGTAGGCTACTCCGTTGTTTTTCCTGATCGCACTTATGTGTGTCGCCTACCTCCGGAGACTAGCATCTTCACAGCTGAAGTTTATGCTATTCTCTCTGTCCTTCGTCTCCTGGTTTCTCGTTGTAAGTCTTCCTTTGTGGTTGTCATTGACTCTCGTAGTGCCCTTATGCAACCCGTTCTCGCAAATTCGTAAAGTCAATATTGACTTATTAACTACGTGCATAGGTGATATACTAAACATAATAGATACCCTTAAAAAGATTCATAGAAAACACCGACCTTACCTAACCTTGTTAGTATCTTAAGATAAGCATCTTATTGCTTCGTAATTACAATTATTACTTAACCTGTACCTATTATAGGTTAGGTAATAATTGTAATTGCGAAGCAATAAGATGCTTATCTTAACATACTAAGTAGGTTAGGTAAGGTCGGTGTTTTCTATGAATATTTTTAAGGGTATCTATTATGTTAAGTATGTCACCTATGCACATATTTAATAAGTCAATATTGACTTATTAAATTTGCGAGAACGGGTTGCCTTATGGCTCTCGGGTCCATCCAGTGGTCGTCGAGATTCAGCATAGGCTGTTTCTTATTTCCAGTAAATTAAATTCAGTCGAGTTTTCCTGGGTTCCCAGCCATATTGGTCTTTTTTTTTTAAATGAGCGTGCAGACGCTGCCGCTAGGGAATCTGTCCACTCTTGTCCCATCTCCCGTAAAGGTATTCCTTATTCCCAGTTATTCGTTCCTCCATCCTTACCCCGTTGGCAGGTTTGTTGGTCTTTTGTTACCGGTAACAAACTGTGTTCTCTTAAGAGTAGTGTGTCCTCATGGCCATCCTCCTATAACTCGCGGTCACTTAATGGAGCGCTGCCCTGCTCCTTATTGTCCAAATTGCGTTGTCCCTCTTACGGTCGGCATATCCTTGTTGAATGTCCTGACTTCCAGGACGAGCGTGTCTTGCTTCGACCGTCCCTCGCGGTAACTTGTCCCTCGATAGAATTCTTGGTGAATCTGATACTTTTGATATCGTTCGCCTTATGCGTTTTTGTTCTCATATTGGCATCCTTGGTAATATTTAGCGCCCTCTGATTATTCCGCACATTTGACGGTGCTACATAGCCTTCCCGGTTTGGTGCCTTCTTTTGATAATTACTTATGCCCCGTCCGGGATTCAAACCCAGGAATTCTCAAGCGAGAACGAACACGATTGTACTACCGGGGCCCTGAAATACTGAAGGAATTGTAATATATTAATTTAGGACACTTTTTTAAAGGTCAAATGTAACGGACACAAGGGCAACAGTTGATTCAATCAAGCCACAGTGCAAGACAGAATATTCTTTTTCACCCATGGGTGTAACCTATGGAATCACCTACCCACCGAAGCCACAGCTGACGGCTTCCTATCCCCGTCAAGGTCATATTTGGCGGTCGTCTGGCAAAAATGTTGCAATCGTTGGTCTGATATTACTGATAAACTGCATACTTATACGTACTTATAATGTGACCTCCCCTCGTGGCCTCCCTCCTACCATAAACGCCACACTTCTCTGGGTAGGCTGCATGTTAATCCCACGCACTAGACTCTTAATGTCTGAATAGTAGTCTCCACTTATAGTTTTATTGCTTTACCAGTGTCCATACGAGTCACTGATCTCGTTATTTTTATTATACTGGAGTGTGTGTAATCCTTGCTGAATCTGATGGCGTTGACGTTGCTCATCAAGCCAAATATGGAGGGGCCCCATTGACAAGCCACCGGCTTCCTGCTCTCATCGAGGCTACTACAGATAGTGGCTCTGGTAAATTCGGCTAAATATATATAAAATGTGTTCTTTTATTGGCATCCTGAGTGATATTTAGGACCTTTTAGATATTCCTCGATACTGACGGTAAAAACGGTAACCAGTTATTCAATAGGACTTCGAAAATAGTTGCAGTATACATAGATTTTGCCAAAGCTTTTGATTAGGTACCACATAAAAAGACTGGCAAGGACGTTAAAAGCACATGGAATATATGGTAAAATACTAAAAAGGATAAAACAATGCAAAGGGTCGACTAAAATGGAAATGAACCTGACTAGAATTGAATGCAGTACCGCAAGGTTCCATTTTGGGACCAACTCTGTCAGATAAATCAATTACAGATGAGAATACTACAAACTACGTCAAATTTGCAGATGACACTTAAGAGATTTATGGAAAAGTGGGAAGTGAAAATTATATCGAGGCATTACAGATCTTGAACTCTACAATAAATAATCGGAAGACTGGGAAATGCATATGGGGCATAGCAAGGCACAATTAACTTCATCTTGCAGCAGATTGATGAAGAAAAGGACAGTGGAGTTGCAATCCACCATTCACTGAAGATTGCACAACAGGTGGGAGCTGCAGTAAAAAAGGTAACTATTTATACATCTGGAATATTTATTACAGTAATCCTCTGAATTCACGTATCTTTTTACACTCCACCACAGTGACGGAGGGTGTGCGAATAATTTTGCTGACACATTTTACATTTGGCCAGGTCTACATCAGCAGATAAAAGTAGAATTTTGCCGTTTTCCCAGCCATATTGGTTTCCTTAAATGAGCGTGCTGACGCTGCTGCTAAGGAGACTATCTGCACTCGTCCCATTTCTCGCAAAGGTGTTCCTTATTTCGACTTCTACCCAGTTATTCCTCAATCCGTGCCAGATGGTCTTCTGTTACTAGTAACAAACTGCGTGCTCTTAAGGGTAGCATGTCCCCGTGGCCTTCCTCCTACCCTCGTAACCAGCGGTAGAAAACTGCTCTGGCGAGGTTACGTATTGGTCATACACGTTTAACTCGTGGGCATTTAATGGAGCGCCACTCTGTTCCTTATTATCCAAACTGCATTGTCCCTCTTGCAGTCGTGCATATCTTTGTTGAAAGTCCTGACTTCCAGGATGTGCGTGTGTCTTGCTTCCAGACTGTCCATCCCGGTCACTTGTCCCTCGATAGATAGATCCTGGGTGAATCGGATATCTTTGATATCGTTCGCCTTATGCGCTTTTGTTCTCATATTGGCATCCTTAATAATATTTAGTTTTCTTCCTATGGAGAGGGGGGGGGGGTGTTGCACATACATCCTGTAAAATGTATGCAACATGGGTTTGTTAAAAATAGAGCCTGCCTTACAAACCTGCTGTTATGGGGGGCAGGGTGATTGTACCGAGAGGGCTAATAGTACAAGATAAAAAGTGTTCCTACAATAGTGGCAATAGGGAGGCCTCGGCCCCCAGGGAAAGAATATTCCCAGAAAATAATAATAATTACATTTTGGGGGGAAACGGTTACCGGCTATTCGCGACAAAGGGCTTCCGGTAGGTATAGCATGGACTTTGCTAAAGATTTTGACAAGGTACCATATGAAAAATTAGCATGGAAACTACAGTCACGTGGAACAAATAGAATACAGTACCGGAATGCATAAAACAAAGAAAACAAAGGGTCGTGCTAAATGGGGATGAATATGACTAGAGAAATGTGGTAAGTGGGGTACCTCAGGGGTCCATTTTGGCGCCAATTCCCTCTTTTTGCCATTGTACATCAATGGCAGAATATGACAAACCTCATCAAATTTTCAGACGACACTAAGATTTATGGTAAAGTGGGAAGTAAAACTCATATCGAGATCTTAAATGAGATCTATATGAACTCTACAAATGGTCAGAAGACTGGCAAATACATTTTAATATCGATAAATGCAAGACCTTCCATGTGGGGCATAACAACCCGTCATAACTACCAAATTAACAGCATTAGCTTGCAGAAAATTGTCGAAGGAAAGGACTCAAGACCCTAGAAATAATCAAGCGTACCTTTACCTTTAAAAGAAAGGAAGGTAGTCATTCAATTGTATAAGTGTCTGGTGCAGTCCCACCTGGATTATTGCATCCAGTCATGGAGACCCTCTTCAGAAAGACAGCTGATCTGGAGAAAGTGCAACAAAAATAATTCCAGAGCAAAGTCAACTCTTGTACGACGAACGGTTGAGGGCTAACATCGCAAATTAGGCATGACAACAGATCTCACTGAAACTTTCAAAATTCTGAACAATTTTGATGATATTGATCAGGACAATTTCTTTCTGCTGTAACAGGAACAAGAAACAACGGTTTCAAGTTCAACAAGCCACAATGTAGGACTGAGAACCGGAGATGCTTTTCCACCCACAGGGTTAACCCATGAAACCGCCTACCCTCCGAAACCGTAAATTCCAAAACTGTATTGAGCTAATGATCTTTTTCAGGTATATTTTAAGGCAAATGGGGGTCCTTCGATAAGCCGCCGGCTTCCTGTCCTTGTCGAGGCTACTAGGGTTACCATTCCTCTGGTAAATCAGGAATGCATTTTATGCGGGTACCAAAATTATTACCAGAACATTACGTACAACGTGGTAAATACAGAATATTGATAATAAATATTATATAAGGTAAGCAGTGTACGCAACGTCAAGGTACGACGCTTGGCTTCTTGGAGCACTACGTAACAGCCAGGCTAGACGGGTCTCTACTCTCTGTGGCTTTGAATACCAGTAAGGTCGCTGGCGAGAGGTGGGTGGGTAGTTACCTTCTAGACAGTTAACTGGCAGGGAGGGAAGGGCAACATCTCGCTAGTCGCCTGTCACAGAGAACATTTACGGCGCAATACAATGAGTGACTTCCGTGTACGGGACGCTCACGGCCGCTGCCACGGGTTGTGTCGGGTATAACGAGTTCACTCCGAGGAGATCGGGTCTCTGCCAGCTTGGTATTTCCCCCCCTTCACCCGCTGCCTCCCTCCCTCCACCCTCTGGGTCTGGACACTACTGGATTCGTGCTGGAGTTGTGCTGACAGATCACGAGGTTCTCCACCTCGGCCACTCGCGGCTGCTGCCACCTCTCTTATTAATCTACCGTCTTGGGTATGTCCTTTATTTATTTGATTTAATTACGTATATATATAAATATATATAAGCTAAGCTTGTAACAATAAAAAATATATATTTATATAAAATTATATAAATATTATAGAAATATACAAGAAGGTACATTGGGTTTATGAGAGTACATGACATTGATGGTTTTATATGCATATAAAGCCACTGTAACACGCTTAGTGTTCCGGGCAGGTCCTTAATCCAACATAATTTGAAGTAGGTAATATGTAACAAAATTTTTAAGAATATTAATAGATACATTGTAGTAAAATGTGAGGATTATTAATTAATAGGTATAGTGTAGCAAAATTTGCGTTCAACATAACAGCTATGATACAATTTTTTTTATTAATACAAGCTTATGTATACACAGCAGTGTGATGCTACCCTATTCTATATGAAAGATTACAGTGTAGATCAAAAACTAACTATAAGTTCATATAATATTCCCATCTCACAGTATGGTTAGCCATATATGGAGTCAGGGGAGAAATTACCTCCCTCAATACAAAAACAAATCAACTCTTGACTAAACAACTTGACAACTTTCACAAGAGTCAAGCACAGAATCATGGAAACATTATATTATAATTACTCTTACCAGTTAATACAAGACTACTCTCAAACAATGTTTTTTTTTTCTTTTTTAACAAGTTGATAGCAGTGATTACAATGGTGAGGTTGCATACCTTAGATATATATATTGGGCGAGTGGGTAGCTCAAGATACAGTGCTATACAAGATACAGTATTCAATTTCTCAATTTCTTTCTTTATTATGCACCCCATACCCATCCCATGGGCGAGATACAGTAATAATAATGTTTATTCAGGTAAAAGTACATACATACAAAATGAATTACAAACAGAATGTTGGAGTACTATATAGAGCTATACAGTATATACTATGCATGTATAGTTTTATGGTGTGAAGGGTTAATTAGATCTAGTTGAATTAGCTTATTATGGATGTAGCAATGCAATTGGTTCATTAAATGAACTAAACTAACACTGAAATGACCTCTGGTTTGATTTCCAGGCAGGGCTGGAATTTTGGGTACGTGTCCTTACACTTGATGTCTCTGTTCACCTAGCATTAAATAGGTCTCCGTGGTGTAGTGGTAAGACACTCGCCTGGCGTTGCGCGAGCGCTTTGTCATGGGTTCGTATCCTGGCCGGGGAGGATTTACTGGGTGCAAATCCTTAACTGTAGCCTCTGTTTAACTCAACAGTAAAATTAGTACTTGGTTGTAACAACGATTCTTCGCAGCGGGGGTCGTATTCCAGGGACTTGCCCGAAACGCTACGTGTACTAGTGGCTGTACAAGAATGTAACAACTCTTGTATATCTCAAAAAAGGTACAAATTGAAGTGCATTTTCCAGAATTAATGCTCTGAGTCTAAAAATTTTGCTTAATTCATTTATTATTCACCCATAGACTGAATAATATGTTTCTGAGGATGTCTAATCTGATGTGCTTATGAGTTGCGGGATACTTCTCGATTCCAAAAAGCGGAATGCACCCGTCATAAAGCTCCTACCAAGGATAAGCACTCAGTGGTTCAAGACACTGTTTGTCTTGAAAGGGCCCATTCTTTGGAACTCACTCTCTGATGGATTAAAAAATGTTCCAACCTAATTCAAATGTAAAACCAAAAAGTGCCTAATTTCATCCTCATAGTTTCCTACCTTGTGCTTCAAACTCTCACCATATTTTGTACTACCCACTTCTCCAATATTAGTACTTAAGGCTAATTAAGTACTTCATCTTTACCAGTGTAATCACCATTCAATTTATACTGTTGATATAAAACCTTGCCACAATGTACTTTTTCATCTTACCTGATATGTTGGATTAAAGACTTGCCCGAAAGGCTATGCATGTTAATGACTTTGCAAGAATGTAAAAATATCACTCTATCTCACCAACCCATTGTACCTTCTTGTAAATAACATATTATTATTATTATTATTATTATTATTGTGAAAGTGCAAATGGTGAGGGAGGTAAGTGCTCTACTTAAGCCCCATTCCAGGTTCCCAAGGCCTGGCATACAGCTGTATGGTGGTGTTGGAAGTTATTGGCTTCCAACACCACCACACAGCTGTATGCCAGGCTTTGGGAACCTGGAATAGGGCTAAAGTAGAGTGCCTAACTCTCTCACAACCCATCCTGAGTTGTGGAAAAAAAGGTAAGGAACTGAACCCCAAAATTTGTTTTACAAGGCAAATTACACCTCTGAAAAATTAGAATTATTTTTTGTACACCTATTTAAGTTTTGAAAATGAATTTAAATAAACTAATCTCGTGTTAATATAATCTTAAATCATAGTACTTACTGTACAGTAGATTCTCCAAAATCCTTGTCATATCATTCCGGACCCCAATCCAGGTATTGTGTGTGAATAATCCAAATTTCCAAATGTGTACTGTACTGTAATTGCCAGCAGGTCCTGGTAGTACGGTCGTGGTAGTACGGTCGTGGTTGTTCTCGACTCACAAACGAGAATTCCGAGTTCGAATCCCGGGTGGGACAGAAATGGTTGGGTACATTTTCTATCACCTCATGCCTCTGTCCACCTAGTAGTAAATAGGTTCACAGGAGTTAGTCTGCTGGGGGGGGTTGCATATTGGGGACGGTCAGTAATTTAACCTGGGGTTAAAAATACCTGGATATAAGCCTAACATGTAATGTGTGTATGTACTGGCTGCCTGTCTCCCAACACAATAAATTATTAATTATGTCTCTAATATTCTCAAACCTATATTGTTTGCTGACGATACTACCCTTATCTACTCAAACCTCAACCCACATACACTAAATAATGTTGTGAATAATGAATTAAAAAAAGTCCACTTATGGATGTCAACGAACAAACTAACATTAAACATCGAAAAGACTTACTACATCTTATTTGGAAGCAAATCATCAAATGCAATTCAGCTACAGATAGACAACATTAACATCAGTAATAAAAATGATGGCAAGTTTCTTGGCCTATTCCTAGACAAGAGACTCAACTTCAGCACCCACATTCAACACATAACTAAGAGAGTCTCTAAGACAGTTGGTATACTCTCCAAAATCAGATATTATGTTCCTAACTCTGCTCTCCTCTCATTATATTATGCACTAATCTACCCCTATCTTAATTATGGTATCTGTGCATGGGGGTCTACCACTGCAAACCACCTTAAGCCCATCATCACACAGCAAAAATCTGCTATCAGAATAATAACTAACTCTGCTGTCAGACAACACTCAGCTCCCTTGTTTAAATCCCTAAACTTGCTAAATATTAACTCCCTCCACACATTCTCTTGTGTCAACTACATTTACAAAACCCTGTTCTTAAATGCAAACCATGCTCTGAAACTCTCCCTGGACAGATGTAATAGGACCCATTATCACCACACCAGAAATAAATATCTCTTTGATATCCCCAGGGTCAAACTTAATCTGTGTAAACACTCTATGCAAATTAAGGGACCTAGTCTATGGAACTCACTCCCTAGTGAATTGAAAAACTGTAAAACTTTTGCCTTATTTAAAAGCAAAACCAAAAAGTACCTAACTTCATCTATTTAGTTTCCTACACTGAGCTTTAAATTTGCTCTGTACCTAGTGTTACCCAATCTCCTAATTTTTATGTAATATCAAACAACCTTATCATTGTGTTCATTGCTGTCTTCTTTTATGTGCTAGCCATATGCTGTATTGTGACTACCAATTTTTGTCAACTACCATTCAAGCTGTCATTGCAATCAATCTTATATTGTTTCTGCTGTATTGTGCCTACCAATTTGTTGTCAACTACCATTTTAAGCTGTCATTGCAATCAATCATAGCTACCTATGTGCTTTAATATACTGTACCTATAATTTTCTCTCATCTTTTTTTTTCATTCCATGTAATCTGTTATCATTTTTTGTCTATAAATTTTGCAAGTATTTACCTCCTTAAAATTTTCTTAGATTAAGGACCTGCCCGAAACGCTGCGCGTGCTAGTGGCTTTACAAGACTGTAATTACCATATTTGTATCCTCACATTCCTTATGTACATTCTTGTATATGCATAAATAAATAAATAAATAAATAAATATTATTATTTGGTTCATCTTATGGTTCCCATAGTCAGGGACACAAAGCATGTTAGATTTGTCAAGGTCCCCCCTTAGGCTAACTGTTCTTTCCCAGAATGCAACCCACAATAGTTGACTAACTCCTGGGTACCTGTTTACTGCTAGGTGGACTGGGGCATTAGGTAATAGGAAACATGTCCAACCATTTCTGTCCCATCTGGGATTCGAACCCGGAATTCTCGTTCTCGAGTCGAGAACAAATTCGACTGTACTACCGAGACCCTATATAAATAAAATAAAATAATAAATGTTTATTTAGGTAAGGTACATACATATAAGAAATTTTTACAAAGATTGGTGGACTTATAGATAGAGCTAGTACATACAATGCCTAAAGCCACTATTACGCAAAGCGTTTCGGGCATGAAAAACTTAAATGACTAAAGCTTAATACTAGTTGAGCATAAAGAGTAAAATGAAAACAAGAAATGAAAACAGCTGAAAAAGCAGCACAAATAAAATTCTATCGACAAACAGCGCTCTTAAAAAAAACAGACAATAGAGGGGTAAGGTAGTTTACAGGGAATTTATTAGGTATAGCTTCGTTTTTATATGAAACTGGTTGAGAGAGGTACAGTCTTTAACATGGTTGGGAAGGTCATTCCACATTCTGGGCCCCTTGATTTGTAGAGCATTTCTAGTTTGATTAAGTCGTACTCTAGGAAAATCAAAACTGTATTTATTTCTGGTGTGGTGCTCATGGGTTCTGTTACAACCTTCTATGAAGCTTTTGAGGTCAGGATTGGCATTACAGTTTAGCGTTTTATATATGTATAATACACATGAGAGAATGTGCAGTGACTTAATGTCTAACATATTCAGAGATTTGAGTAGGGGTACCGAGTGATGTCTGGGGCCAGAGTTGGATATTGTCCTAATAGCAGCTTTGTGTTGAGTAATTAGAGGACGTAAATGATTTTGGGTAGTAGAGCCCCAAGCACAAATACCATAGTTGAGATATGGATAGATAAGGGAGTAATAGAGAGTCACCAGGGCAGGGCGTGGTACATAATATCTGATCTTAGAAAGAATGCCCACAGTTTTTGAAACTTTTTTTGATACATTTAGAATGTGTCCCTGGAAATTCAGCTTGTGGTCAATGAGAATGCCAAGGAATTTGCCATCTAATTTGTTACAAATTTGGGTATTGTTTATTTTGAGATTTATTTGATTAGAGGATTTATTGCCAAACAGAATATAGAAAGCTTTGTCAATGTTAAGGGTGAGTTTGTTGGCAGTAAATATACACAGTAAACTGATTTTGGTGGTAAATAAATATTTATAATAATAATAATTCATTGTGTGAAGGGACAGGCAGCCAGAGTGCATATGTTTGTTAGGCCGATGTTGCAGTCCCCCTCAAGGTTGAACTAATGACTCTTCCCAGGATGGAACCCCACAACAAGCTGACTAATTCCTGGATACCTATTTACTTCTAAGTAGTCTTTGTGGCGTAGTGGTAAGATGCTCGCCTGGCGTTCCGCGAGCGTTTGTATCCTGGCTGGGGAGGATTTACTGGGTGCAAATCCTTAACTGTAGCCTGTGTTTAACTCGACAGTAAAATGGGCACCTGGTTGTTAGACGATTCTTTTCAAGGGGGTCGTATTCCGGGGAACTTAGGATTAAGGGCTTGCCCAAAATGCTACGATTACTAGTGGCTGTACAAGATTGTAACAACTCTTGTATATTTAAATAAAAAAAATAGGTAAACAGGTGAATTAGGTGATAGAAAACACCCCAACCATTTCTGTCCTGCCCAGGATTCGAACCCGGAATTCCCGATTGTGAGTTGAAAATGAACCGAACTGTAGTAACTGGAGCTGTAAATATGATAGTGATAATGTTTATTCAGGTAAAAGTACATACAAAATGAGATACAAACAGAATGTTGGATTTCTAGACAGAGCTAGTACATACTAAAGCCACTAATACTGTATGCACAGCATTTTGGGCAAGATATATATACAAGTATACAATACTATATACAAGAAGGTGCAATGTGTTGTGAAAATACTGTACATATTCTGGTGATTACGTGGTACAGTCTTGCAAAACCACTAACAATCTTAGAATTTAGGACAGGTCCCTAAGCTAGGAGTTTGTCAGCTTGTGGGCCAGTCGTTTGACCTTGAGGGGAAGGGAGGTGTCAGACTGAGGTGGGTCAGTACAGTATTTTGACCTGGGGAGGTCACCTCAGTATATTTACCAGAATTTACCTGAGGGTCACTAACACTAGTGGCCTCGCCTAGGACAAGAAGCCGGCGGCTTGTTGAAGGTCCCCCCCATTTGATTTGATGATTCACAATTTCAAATTAAGTTTAAAAATATTAAAATATCACTAATTTTTATTTTATTCATTATGGTCTCAGAATGGAATATAACGTTCATGGTCCTTGCAGAAGAATATTGCCGAAGAGTATAGTTTACTGTAAAAAAAATTATTCGAAATGGCCTTCCAAATAAGTACCAAAATTAGATGAAAAAAATTTATAACTTTAAAAGTTGTGTTTATGACTAAACGACAGTAAGGACACCTTAGAACTAAGAACTTTGCACATAATCTGTAAAAATGGTAAGAATCTGTCAGAAATTGAGTTTTTTAAGCAGTCTCAAAGTTAAAATTCCTATTTTAGAGATACTGTAATTGAATTTGAACTTATTGACAATGAATATGGTAGTTCTAATTAATGAATTTTCTTGTATGTTTTAATAAACATTGCTTGGCATTCATACTCGAATATGTGAAAGTTGTAGGTCAGTGTGTTAAAATGAAATCAAGAAAAAAAAAAATACAGTATAGGGATATAGGTTAGGGATAACAAACATATATATATTGCAGTAACGTTATTGCCCCTATATAAGTGGTAAAGCCCTCATCTGGTTCTCATTCATTAGTACTACCTAAAGATACAAAGAGAATAGTTTGAAATCTGTAAATAAACCCGGTCCCAAAAAAATAAAAGTCACAACTTTTGCCACCTGTGGCTAATTATGTTGACCAATTTCATTCCAACTTCACATGCTTAGTACCGGATATTTATTCACCAAGATGTTGAAGTCATAACAAAATCTGCATAGAAACAAAGGAGAGAAAAAATAAAAAAAGGGTTGTCAGCTTTTTGTACAAAGGGACATAAGAAATATTGCCATTGGGCAATGTATTTATATGATAAATATTAAAATACTGTACAGCAAAATAACTTACCAACTCATTATTATGTGTGAAATCTGGCATTTAGGTGGCATCAGCTGTATATCCACTTTGTCGACCCTCCTTACTACTACTGTACAGTACTTTTCTTCTTTGCTTTCTTCTATTGCCCAATGGCAATATTTCCATCACTCTTTGTAAAATCTCTTGTATGTATGTACCTTACCTAAATAAACGATTTGATTTGATTTGTGTGTTGGGCAGGTGCTTGCATCTCTTTATCCCTGATTACCAGTAAGTGGAAGGTGTTATCATTATTATCAGTACCATTTGCCACCCGTCGTGCATTCGACAGGTATTAATAAATACCTGTATTTATAAATACAGGTATTTAAAAAATAATAAAAAAAAATCCATTTCTTAACATATTGGGATGAAAATTTCACTATGTAGATGCCAAAAAATGGGAGATTTGTTTACAAATTTTCACTATTTCATATTTGGAAAAATACTCCTATGTCACCGGGCCCCTTAAATAATATGTAAATAAAATAAAAATTTAATAAAATATCTTAAATAATAATATTCAATAATATAAAAATAGTTAATATTAATAATTAATTATAAACTACACCATGAAATCGTGACATGAAACAGGTGCACAGTGCAGGGGTTAAATCAGCAAAATGGTAACATAAGAAACATATGGAAAAACCATCTCTTAACATCTTGGGATCTCAACAACACTTGCTCAGTGAACAGATTACACTTTTACTTGAATTTACCTGAGGGCCACTAACCAAAGATGGTAACATCCTGGCCTCAGATTAAGTAGTAGTAACTAAATTCATTGAATTCTTTTGTCAGTTGGCCACCAAGAGGTACCCCCACCATACTATACTTCGAGAATGGCACATAAGCAGCATTATCCATTTGCTCGTGTTTAGATGCATTAAAGGTCTTCTGGATGCTATTCATCTCACCAATGCTCTCCATCTTATTTTGCTTTTCTTATGTCAGAAGCAGTACTAGTGCCAATGCCATTCTTGTCTGCCAGCCATTACTTGCTTGTCCACCCACAGTAATTTCTAATTAACTAGAATAACTTACATTGTTCATAGTCCTAACAAATATGTTGGTGCCGCTTCAGTAATGCCTCTAATACATTACTAATATTTGCAGATGTTAAATCTCTTATACTGGGGACTGTGACATGCCCATTACCGCTATGGATAAAACGGAGCCAAAGGTTGGTGGGATGACGAATAGTGTGGAGATGGATAGCGAAGATGACCATGACAGTGGTGAGTGCTAACTTGGCATGATTGTGCTCATTTCCATGATGGTTGTGGTAGAGATATTAGCTTCACATCTCTTTATTTTGGAGTACATTTAACAGCCATATTATGTACAATTTAATAACCATATTGTGTTTATTTATTAACCAGATCTGTGTATTATTTTCTTGTTTAAATGCACTTCTTCAAATAGCAATTGTCACTGAGACTCCCACTTATTATACAAAGGTAATTATTTATCATTTTCTTTCCAAGTACTGTACATATACTTTACTGTACTGATACTGTAAGGGATTCCACATATAGTACTGTATAATGAATGAAAGAGTGAGTGGGAGAGAATGATTGAAAGAGTGAATGGGAGAGAATGAATGATTGAAAGAGTGAATGGGAGAGAATGAATGATTGAAAGAGTGAATGGGAGAGAGTGAATGATACTGTGTACTCACCTAGTCGTACTCGCCTAGTTGTGTTTGCGGGGGGTTGAGCTCTGGCTCTTTGGTCTCGCCTCTCAACCGTCAATCAACTGATGTACAGATTCCTAAGCCTACTGGGCTCTGTCATATCTACATTTGAAACTGTGTATGGAGTCAGCCTCCACCACATCACTTCCTAGTGCATTCCATTTACTAACTACTCTGACACTGAAAAAGTTCTTTCTAATGTGTGTGTGTGTGTAATTACCTAAGTGTAGTTACAGGATGAGAGCTACGCTCGTGGTGTCCCGTCTTCCCAGCACTTTTTGTCATATAACGCTTTGAAACTACTGACAGTCTTGGCCTCCACCACCTTCTCACCTAACTTGTTCCAACCGTCTACCACTCTGTTTGCGAAAGTAAATTTTTGTATATTTCTTCGGCATCTGTGTTTAGCTAGTTTAAATCTATAACCTCTTGTTCTTAAAGTTCCAGGTCTCAGGAAATCTTCCCTATCGATTTTATCAATTCCTGTTACTATTTTGTATGTAGTGATCATATCACCTCTTTTTCTTCTGTCTTCTAGTTTTGGCATATTTAATGCCTCTAACCTCTCCTTGTAGCTCTTGCTTTTCAGTTCTGGGAGCCACTTAGTAGCATGTCTTTGCACCTTTTCCAGTTTGTTGATGTGCTTCTTAAGATATGGGCACCACACCACCACTGCATATTCTAGCTTTGGCCTAACAAAAGTCGTGAACAATTTCTTTAGTATATCGCCATCCACGTATTTAAAAGCAATTCTGAAGTTAGAAAGTTAGAAGTGTGTGTGTGTACGTGCCTAATTATGCTTGTGGGGTTGAGCTCTGGCTCTTTGGTCCTGCCTCTCAACCATCAATCAACAGGTGTACAGGTTCCAGAGCCTATTGGGCTCTATCATATCTACACTTGAAACTGTGTATGGAGTCAGCCTCCACCACATCACTGCCTAATGCATTCCATCTGTTAACTACTCTGACACTAAAAAAAAAGTTCTTTCTAATATTTCTGTGGCTCATTTTTTTCATGTTATTGTAATGTTGAAGTCTATATAGGTGAGAACTGCATGCACTGTAAATGGCTATAATTTTTTTTCAGGACATCATGTCCATTTTTCTGAAGACACTGATAAATTGGGCAACACAGCCATTAGCATTAAAGAAAAAGCAGAGGGGTGTGAATATGAAGCTCACGTGGGATTCCTGCAGGTATTGTATGAAATATTAATGTGTTTTTGCAATATAAACATAATCAGGAACTTAACCTTTAAAGTGCTTAATTAAATTATACCTGCAACTTATCATTTAAATGGAAATACCTTTATATATGAACTTCTTATGAGGTTAATATAATTACTGGCCTCTAATCTTGTTGGTTTCAAGAACTCATAAAAACACAATTGTACTAATTGCTACTATGTACCCCACTGCATTGTAACTATTGTAAGTAGCCTAAGGATCAAGAGATTATCATCTCTTTACGCCACTAAGTCCAGTCAAAGTATTTATATCTACCATTGATCTTTGCCAGGAATCAACAAATAAAAGGTAAAGAAAATTGGTAAAAGGTCTGTAATCTGCCTGTGAGTAGATATCTGTGGAGTTCCTCTATCAGATTTAATAATATTTGCCTTGCCAAGCATATGTGAAAGAGGAGGAGGGGAGCAAACAAGAAGAGATAGGACATAAAAGGGAGGAAATTGTTTAAGGATAACTATTGCAGGAACATTGCCAAGGTGAAAAATTCAGCATTGAATGTAATGAAATGCCTCTTTCTGGTTAGGCTGTGGGGGCTTCCTGTTACTATCTCGCTCACAAATCTCCACACAAGAGCTGCATCAACCATAGAAGTCTGTTAGACATCCAACACCTAAGCAGTTTCTTTGTGATGCATGGGCACACTGTGCAATTGCCCAAGGGCCTCACAATTCTAAGGGGCCCATGCTGTTCATAGCAGCATGGGGCCTTAGAATCTTTGCACAGTGGATAATTGTAATGATTGCTACTCCACCCTCTTGCTGGAAAGGCCTGGAGTTCAAATCCCTTTTCGTATTATATTTATAATATAAATAGATCTGATGATAATCCTTCACTTTAGCAAATGGGTTGGGACCCATCATCTGGCTAGGGGCCCCTAATGCATTGCTTTTCCCAGGGCCTACAGTGATACAGTATTAAGATGGCCCAGATCCCTAGCCCTACTATCAGCCTGCTTCATGTTGGAAAAACTGTGGATAAAGCCGCAAACTTGTGAACATCAAAGGCCTCGGGTAGATTTCAGACTGGAACATTCGAACCTTGAAACAAGGAATGAAGCCCACCTAGATTCACAAACGAAGTGTCCACTGAAACAGTATGAGTGGCATACAGGTAAATATGAACTGCAGTAACCTAACATAGCAAATGGGACTTCTTCAGAAGCCAGCTGTCTTAATCTTTGGCAGAAAAGGAGAAGAGGTCTGCAAAGAAAGCATCCACCATGGAAGGAAGAACAAAATCCTGCTTCTGGAGGAGAGCGTGAAGCTTCCCATCCTACAACCAAAAGCATGGACCAACAAAAAACAGAGCTTTATAAAATGTACCACAGACTGAAGGAGCTATTCAGAACCAAGAAGAGGAAAGAAAGGCTAACACCTTATCAATAGACCATGATGGCTTAAGAAGAGAATGAGCCAACCAGAGGCAAAAGAAGACATGAGAATACTTGCAAAATGGCACCAAAGAAGTAATTACCTGAGTGTAGTTACAGGATGAGAGCACCACCAAAGAACCATTGAAAAATGGAACTCACTTCTTGGCACTCAAGCATGTGGGCTTGGCAAAAAGTCATGCCAAATTATCTAGGAAAATAGAGGGTTGTTAGAAAACCAGGGAATAAGGGACCTCATACTGCATCAGACTTGAACTCAAACAAAGAAGGGGTCTGTCAATGAATAGAGGTCCTGTTCCCACAGGAGGAACCAAAAAAGGTCCACCCGAGCGGAAGATGGTGCATAGCAGGATGATGAAAACTCCCAGAAATATGATGCATTAAAGGACTCTAGCGGTACTCAGAGGCAAACCCAGGGAGAAGTTGGAGAGGAATGCAGCTTAAACATGAATGGAGGAGAAGTATAATCCTCTGCCCAGAGTGAAACACCCTCCATAAATGTAACCAAGAATTTGAGCTCTGTTGTCGTGGGGAGTCGGAGTTCTACGAGGGAGGGGGAGGGGGATCAGCTTTTGGCTCTGATCTCCAGTAGAACATTAATTTCCAGGGCTGATATGACTTATGTGTGGAGCTACCTCAGGGAGCTATAGAGGCCCAACGAAAAAGTGCCGTTTCATTACAATTATCACTGGTTCGTTACTGCCTCTGATGTGGTGCATTTTAGGAGTTGGAGGATTCTTTAAGATGGCCAAAATTTGCTTTTAATGGTTAATGGCATCTGGAATAAACAATAGTTACTGTTATACTATGAGGGATTTGAATGAACAAAACTATACATATAAATCAATAATTGCAGTTTTAATATCTTTAGTACAGTGTACTGTATGTAAATTTATTCCTTAATTTAAATTTTACAGCTACTCCACCGGTACCAGATTACTATAGTTTTACCGCTGAAAGATGCTTGTGATGGATACAAAGTAGCAGACATTCCAAGCGTTTACTGTCATGCTGAGAATTTACAGGTAAGACTATATAATTAAGGTTGTATTTCTTTCACTACATATTCTATTTATTTTATTATATCATTTAACATGAAATCAAATGAGAAAAGTCAGATAATGAGAAGTTATAGATACTATAACTATACTAATACTTTAGCTATAGATTATAGAACAGGGCAGAAATGATACTTCTGCCCTGTTCCATAAGCTTTCTCGTGCTTTGTTTCACCTCCGGCCTGCTTATGCGCCACCTGAGTCATCCTGGTCCTTGGACAGGGTGCCCTTCTATCTCACTTCTCCTCGGCTCTATTTCTGTTGGCATTGGCCTCTGGGGGTCGGGTCGGTGAGCTTCATGCTCTCCTCTGGCACAGGGGTTTCTGCTCCTTTGGTCCTGGTAGTCTGTTTGTTCCATTGCAGCTTTGTCCTTCTTTTCTGGTGAAGAATGAGATGACTGCTTTCTGGAGGGGTCTTTGGGTTATTGATGCTTGGTTGGTCATGCTGGGGGTGCATCTTGTGTTTTGTCTGGTTGCGGTTCTTCATCATTGCCTGCGTGCCTTGGCTTCTGTGGCCAGGGATGCGTTTTGGGTTGATCCGGTTCCCTGTTCTGGGGCTCGGATATCCCAAGTCACTTGCAGGGTTATTACATCTAACCAGCCTGCGGTCTGTCCTCGTACTTATGACTTTCAGGAGTTTGTTGCTTTGGCTGCCATCTTCGGCACCATGTCTTGGGCTGCTCTTCAGGCGTGGGGATTTTGGTGGTTGAACAGGGTTCTGGCCACCCGTTCATTAGTCAACATTTCTGGTCCTGGGCTTTCGTATGTGACTTTGGGTCGCAGATTGTTGCCAGTTGTCTCGCCTTCAAGTTAAGGAGCGTGAGGCGGCCATCTCCGGGGGTATGTCCTTCTTTTCCTTATCTTTGGTTATGTTATCTTGAGATGATGATTTGATTGCGATGACTTCGGGGCTTAGTGTCCCCGTGGCCTGGTCCTCGGCCTGGTCCTCGACCAGGCCTCCACCCCCAGGAAGCAGCCCGTGACACCTGACTAACTCCCAGGTACCTATTTACTGCTAGGTAACAGGGGCTTCAGGGTGAAAGAAACTCTGCCCATTGTATCTCGCCGGTGCCCTGGATTGAACCCGGAACCACAGGATCACGCGTCCAGTGTTCTGTCTGCTCAGCCGCCGGCTATGTAGCTCCAGGGAGCCAAAGGAGCTCCACACATAAAACCAACGTTGAATGTAATGAAACGCCATTTTCTGGGTGAGCCCTGGAGGTTCCCTGGCACCCTCCATCCCTCCGGTCAGTGGTTTTCGCATTGTTTTGATGCTTAGCCTCCAAACTGTGATGTTTCCTTGTTACGTTGGGAATTGAGGGAGTTCTACCTCTCTGTTCGGTTTTTGTTTACATTTTTCTTACCCTGTGGGGTCTGTTTTGTTACTCCTACCTTTCTGGGTGCCTAACCCCGATTGATGGCAGATAAGGTAAACCCCCAACGACAGTGGGGGGGGAGGTTTCCAGGGCCATTGCTCCCTGCTCCTCTCTGAGGGGGGCCAGGTTCTGCTTTGTGTTCCCCAGTAGCCAGAACTCCATTGACTAAAGTCCCGGTGTAATGTATCTAACAATAGCACTGCTGATCTGACAGTCATAAGAAGACTCTTGAAATGTCTCTTACAAGGAACTTAAATAATTAAATTATTTAAGTTTGGCTTAAATATTAGTAAGGTCGATTTAAATAATTATTATTATTAAGATCAACTTAAATAATTAAGTTGACCTTAATATTGTTAGGGGTGAGAATATGAACACACTAGTTTGGTCTTATTAGCTTTCTAATTAAAAGGTTAATTTCACCAGAAGCAAAAACTTAAAAATGATGATTACCTTATAAATTGTACCTGAATTTTTTTTTCTTGAAGATTGAAAACATATTTTCAATATTAACAGGTGACCAAAGCTGGTGGACTGGAGTTAACAATTAGATTGTTAGCACATAAAGAAAAACTGCTGCGGGAGAAGATTGTACTGCTGAAGCCCACGGGTAGGGAGCTCAAGCTCACCCTTTTAGCTCGAGTCCTAGGTAAGGAAAAAATGAGAGGTTTATTTTTCTATAATTTTGTTGGGTCCAGTGATTGAAAATATTTCTCTCATTTACCAAATGTATTTATTTTTATACTCCCAATCTCTTCCTTCAATCTCTTCTTCATGCACTCTTTTTCACTCACTTCATTCTCTTCATCACACACTTCCTTTATCCTTATGTTTTTCTCTTCACATTCTTCCTTCTAATCCTTAGAATTTATTTCCTCTCTTTTTTACACACTATTCCTTCTAAGCTTCCTGCTCCTCTTCTTTATCTTCCTACTCGTTTCTTTTCCTCCCAATCTCTTCTCCTCATTCTCCACTTGGCTAGCCACATGGGCTAGACTGATGGTCTCGCTTCATGCAGGTTGGCATTCAATCCCTGACTGTCCAAGTGGTTAACCACCATTCCTTCCCACCGTCTCATCCCAAATCCTTACCCAGGTCCCTTCCAGGTGCTATTAGTCATAATGGCTTGATGCTTTCTCTTGATATTTCCCTTCCCTCTTCCTTTTCATCATTGTTATTTTTGGCTCTCATCCTTTGTCGTCTTCTCATTCTTCCCTTCTAATTCATCTCTTCTAAGCATTTTTTTTTGCTTCTCATTCTTATGGTCTTATTCCTTCATTCTCTTTCACCCTTTTTTTCCTTTAATTTTGCTGATCACTTCCTTCTCATCCTCTCTTCCTTCTCATCTCTGATAGTGGACCATCCAGTGTAATTACTGAAGTGTAGTTACAGGATGAGAGCTACACTCATGCGATCACATCTTTCCAGCACTCTTTGTCACATAACGCTTTGAAACTAGTGAGGGTTTTGTCCTTCAACACCACCTCACTTAACTTGTTCCAACCATCTACCACTGTTGGCAAAAGTGAATTTTCTCATTTTTTTGGGCAGCTTTATTTAATTAGCTTAAATCCATGACCCCTTGTTCTTGAAGTTTCAGGTCTCGAGGATTTTTCTTTATCAATATTGTCGATTCCCATGTGTGGTCCTAATAGTGGATCCTGCAGTGTGTCAATCTGATAGTGGATCCTTCAGTGTGCGATCAAATTTCCTGAGCTTCTGAACAAATTTCTTTCCCCCCCCCCAAACTTTCCAAATGACTGAGCTGCTTCTAAGCCTCCATATGTTAGCATCTGGGCTTCTAAATGCCTAAGTATGTGTCCTTGAATGAAGCCAATTACCCGTTGAGCCCCCAAACCCATGAGGTTTGAATCCACAAAGACCCCAAAATAACATTTCTGGACCTTGGCCTTGATCTTGGCTGTGAAAGTCTTGAAATTGTCCACATTTAAATCATGGGGTAAATCTATATACCATCTATATATGCATGAGTTAAATGGTAACTTCCTCTACTTCATTACAGGTAAAGGAAAAGGGACACCAATGCTACGTGATCGCATAAAGCTGATTGGTATTGAGTGTGATGAGGAGTCCGAAGCATCCGACTGGCAAGGTTTCACCTAGGTGTATGAAAGCTGGGAAGAACGAGGAGCAAATTGTCTCCCATCCTGAGGAAAGTTTAGCATCATATTGTATCGAGCACCTTCCTTTCATTATTGTTAGGTCCTGCATTTTTTTATGTGATGCAGGTTGAGTGTGTTGTTTCTCCTAAACTGTTATTTGTTCATTGAATTTAATTATATCTAAAGAGGTAAAAAGTGATGCCCTTTTCAGTGTTATATTTAACTTGTATTCTAGTTTCCACAAAGTGGTTTCTGTAACATGAACTCAGATTCCTGTTGTTGTTATAGTCCCTTGGTTTCCATAATTGATTGCAGTGATTCTCTTTGGCAGTTAAATTTTTTAAGACAAAATTTGTGAATAATTTGGAAAATTCTTATAATTGAAACATTTTACTATGTGGAGAATTGCTCATTACCTATATAGTCATGGGAAGGTAGCATTGCTGATCAGTCTTTAAATTGTATAAAAGGAATAGCCATAAAGAAGCAATAAATGTAACAATATTGAAGATAAGTATTCATATTGAAGATGAGGTCACAATAACTGAAGATTAGACTCAACATTAGACATCTAACCCACCAATCTGAAAAGGAAGAATTGACCATGTTTCAGTCCACATTGGATCATAATCAAGTTGTTAGTACATGACTTAATAATGGTTCAGGACACACCAAAGCATCGTCAATTCTTAATTTTCAGATTTGTGGGTTGGGCGTGTTTACATACAGTATTGAAAATTTAAGTGATTTTGGGTGCTTAAATTTAGGATAAGGTATTTTACTATGCCTAGGATAAATAAATTTTGTACTGTATTTATAAGCATTAATGGAACTGTAAGAGGAGGAGACAAAATAATTTCCTACTTTTCCCTTTCCTTATGTTCCTCCAGGTGACTTGCCCTTTGATAGCATCCTCGATGAATCCGATATCCTTGATGTCACTCGCCATATGTCTTTTTGTTCTTGTATTGGTATCCTGAATGATATTTAGCAGCTTATGAATATCCTGCAACACAGATGGTGCTATCTAGTCTTCCCAGCTTGGCACCTGCTTTTGAAAATTTCTTATTTGCTACTTTTCTCATGGTAGCTACTGTAAGAGATCGAATGAAAATCTACTTCTATTAAGGAAATGTAAGTTAGGAGGCCTGGTCGATGACCGGGCCGCGGGGACGCTGAGCCCCGGAAGCACCTCAAGGTAACCTCAAGGTAGGTTAGTGAGTGCAGTCGGGTTCGTTCTCGACTCACAATTGGGAATTCTGGGTTTGAATCCTGGGCAGGACAGAATTGGTGTTGGAATCCTAACACCCAATGCCTCTAAAAATAAAGAAAAGAAAACCTAATTCCTCTGTTCACCTAGCAGTAAATAGGTACCCCAGGAGTGTGTCAGTTTGTTGTGGGGCTAGGATAAATTGTTTGTTTTAATGGGAAGACTTACACTCAACCTTAATGTCTTTCTTTTAGAAATGCATGTTTTGTTCCAAATGTGCATTCAAGTTAAAAGCATATGTTTTAACAACATTCAAGTACACTATATTATTTATTTTAAAGAATGAATTAATTTAAAATGGAGATTTCATTACATAATTTTGTGTGATGTAGTAAAACCTTACCTTCATTTTGAAGGCTTTATCCACCTAGAATGATTTGCATGAAATAAATAAATTTATATATATATATATATATATATATATATATATATATATATATATATATATATATATATATATATATATATATATATATATATATATATATATGTATATATATATATATATATATATATATATATATATATATATATATATATATATATATATATATATATATATATATATATATATATATATATATATATATATATATATATATATATATATATATATATATATATATATATATGTATATATATATATATATATATATATATGTATATATATATATATATATATATATATATGTATATATATATATATATATATATATATATATGTATATATATATATATGTATATATATATATGTATATATATATATGTATATATATATATGTGTATATATATATATGTGTATATATATATATGTGTATATATATATATGTGTATATATATATATGTGTATATATATATATGTATATATATATATGTATATATATATATATATATATATATATATATATATGTATATATATATATATGTATATATATATATATATATATATATATATATATATATATATATATATATATATATATATATATATATATATATATATATATATGTATATATATATATATATATATATATATATATATATATATATATATATATATATATATATATATATATATATATATATATATATATATATATATATATATATATATATATATGTATATATATATATATGTATATATATATATGTATATATATATATATATATATATATATATATATATATATATATATATATATATATATATATATATATATATATGTATATATATATATATATATATATATATATATATATATATATATATATATATGTATATATATATATGTATATATATATATATATATATATATATATATATATATATATATATATATATATATATGTATATATATATATGTATATATATATATGTATATATATATATGTATATATATATATATATATATATATATATATATATATATATATGTATATATATATATATGTATATATATATATATGTATATATATATATATATATATATATATATATATATATATATATATATATATATATATATATATATATATATATATATATGTATATATATATATATATATATATATGTATATATATATATGTATATATATATATGTATATATATATATGTATATATATATATATATATATATATATATATATATATATATATATATATATATATATATATATATATATATATATATATATATGTATATATATATATATGTATATATATATATATATATATATATATATATATATATATATATATATATATATATATATATATATATATATATATATATATATATATATATATATATATATATATATATATATATATATATATATATATATATATATGTATATATATATATATGTATATATATATATATATATATATATATATATATATATATATATATATATATATATATATATATATATATATATATATATATATATATATATATATATATATATATATATATATATATATATATGTATATATATATATATATATATATATATATATATATATATATATATATATATATATATATGTATATATATATATGTATATATATATATGTATATATATATATGTATATATATATATGTATATATATATGTATATATATATATGTATATGTCGTACCTAGTAGCCAGAACGCACTTCTGAGCCTACTATGCAAGGCCCGATTTGCTTAATAAGCCAAGTTTTGATGAGTTAATTGTTTTTCGACTACCTAACCTACCTAACCTAACCTAACCTAACTTTTTCAGCTACCTAACCTAAGCTAACCTATAAAGATAGGTTAGGTTAGGTAGGGTTGGTTAGGTTCGCTCATATATCTACGTTAATTTTAACTCCAATAAAAAAAAATTGACCTCATACATAATGAAATGGGTAGCTTTATCATTTCATAAGAAAAAATTAGAGAAAATATATTAATTCAGTAAAACTTGGCTTATTAGGCAAATTGGGCCTTGCATAGTAGGCTGAGAAGTGCATTCTGGCTACTAGGTACGACATATATATATATATATATATATATATATATATATATGTATATATATACATATATATATATATATATATATATATATATATATATACCCTTTTCATATATGTATATGTATATATATATGTATATATATATGTATATATATATGTATATATATATGTATATATATAGTATATATATATATATATATATATATATATATATATATATATATATATATATATATATATATATATATATATATATATACACACACACACACACATATACACATACATACATACATACATACATACATGTACAGCAAGTCTTTATAAAAACAATATTATTATTAATTAAATGTTCTGAATGTTATGTAGACACACTTGAATGTTTTGTAAAATAGTTCTACATTATCTGGATGTCTTGACTTCAATTTTTCTTTCAATAATCACCTAGTATTAATTAAATACAGGCAAGATTTTTAAAAAATATCACGGCTGAATGAAAGTCATCTCGTAAAGGAAATAGGACTGTGAGTTATTGTCTTGGAGTGAGTGTTTAAAGAGGAAAGTTGTAACTAGTTATAGAGAATAGATGACTAATGTTACCAATTGTTGAAATAAGCTCTTTTCTCTTTCTGACGTAGTTTACCAATTCCTAAGTTTTATATTGTGTGGTAGTGTCGACAGGCATAAAATTAGTCATTTGTTTCCCCTGAAAGTGTCTGTTGATAAGTGTTGAAGAATTAATTATATCCAGAGTCAGCAATAACATACTATATATACCAGTATTATACAGGCTTATAATACAGCACAGCACTTCATAATAGCTGTGGTATTTAGAATGATAGTGTAATCATTTAAAAACTTGCAGACTAATTTTAATTTGTGCAGAATAATTCTGTTAACTTCCTCACAGTATAATCTGCCATAACTTAGCATTGCTACATTATTGAAATTTTCATACAAAATTCTATGTAGATGTAAATTCTATCACCAGCATTATTTTTGTGATGCCCATTCTCATGATTTCTCAGCATAAACAGTAATGTGAAATGGTCTTTGCTGATCCATGGGCCTATGAACCTATATCAACCCTCCTAACCTATTGATGCTGCTGATCAGTAGTCCAGGAACACGTACAAATTGAGTTGCTTAAATTCTACTAAACTGCTTACCAAACTGTCTGAAGTGTTGAACAGACACATTTTGGTTTTCCAATGTGCCATGGACCGGTGCCATATTGTCATCGTATTCCCTTAGTTATGTAGAACAATTTAAATAAATTGAAGATTGAGTGAAAGGTTGTGTGGGTAGAATAAAATGATTCTTGTACATTTATGATCTAAGATAATATTATTTTGGAAGCAATATAATAAATGTAATAAAAGTTGACACTTTTGATTTTGTTTCTGTGTAACAGATAATAGATGCTTTTAAAAAAATGCATTATTTAATGTTGACTTATTTTGCCTGATAATTATTTTTGGTGAAATTCTGGTACGATCATATATTATTTCTTTCTTTCTTTCGTGGAAATTGATGGACCTGCACTTTCTAAGTAGTACTGTACTAAAGTACCTTCATTTTAACACCGCTGTTGATGCATCTCTATTTGGATGCTATACGAGTGTGAGGACAAGTCAATTTAATACATCAATTTGCTGACAATTTTATTGTTTATTATGATTTTAATACTTTGTTTTTTCTGAATAATGGCTCATTGTGATTTTACTTGTTCACACTGTGCTGAGTATTGACTTAAACTCGGTTTATGATGACATTGAATTCATCAGGCCACTTGTAATTATATTTTTATCAGGTTGTTCGTAATGTTGTTATCGGGTCCAGTTTGTAATGATATCGACTTCATGCTAAATTTGTCATAATAGGGGCTTCATCAATCCCAGTTTGTGAGGATATTGACTTCATTATGTCCAATTTCTTAAGACAAAAGTTTACACTCATTTAAGGTTAACATAGCAGTAGTATTTCAGTTTTCGTAATTATTTTATGAATAATATTTTAACTGGAAATATTAGCTGTGGTCATTTTAGTTAAATCAAATTTTGTAATATGAAAATACTGTAGATATAAATTACTTGTACTGATAATGTCAGTACTTCAAGCACATTTTTTAGGTTTTGCTGTACTGTACTGATATGTGGTAGCATGCAGTACTGAATATGGCATTACAGGAGTCCAAAAGAAAAGGGTGTGACTGGCACATTCAGCCACTTGGTAATGACCAAGCAGGAAACCAACAACAAGTGGTAATAGCCTAGAGAACTGAAGTGTGCAATGTGTTCCCGTGTATCGTTCCTACCTTGTCCCCATGGAGTCTCCCACCCACAATTGTTATGAAATCCATTTTCCTTCAACATTTTCCTACCATTCATGCTTTCCTGCTTTGTCTGCAGATGGTCTGGGCTACTGTTTTTTCCTGACCAAACCTTTTGTGCCACTTTTCGTGCTGAGACTAGCATTTTCACGGCAGTTTTATTTGATTTTGTGTGCTCTCTGCCAGAGGCTTATTTTACACCAGTATTGCTTT